ACACCCGCGATCCCGACCGCGCTCGCCCGGGGCCGGGCTTCCTCGCACGGTCACGGTCGCCGTGACTGCACGAGGAGCACGACGACGGACGGATGCGGTGAAATCCCAGACTCCGCAGCCAGGACAGGGCCGAGCTGGGAGCTGGGTCCGCAGCTCATCGGCTTCGGGTCGGCGCTGAGCGCTCAGCTTTGCTGCCGTCACCCGGAGAAGACAGCCTGGGGCCACCGCGACGGGAGGGAGCACGGACACCAGCACTGCTGCGCTGGCGGCTTTCCCCGCTGGCAGGACCCTGAGACTCGTCAGCAAGACCCGGGGCACCGCAGCGTATCACGGCGGGACCGCGCGGCGGAGGACACCGTTCCTCCGGAACAGCTGGGGAACGGAGACGAAGAGGCCACGCCCACAGTGACCTCACTTCCGCACGCTCGGCCCCACCTCCTGGAGGCCCCGCCCCCTCCCGCTGCCCTGCAGGCGGGGACCACGCCTTCAACTAGGGGCTTGGGGGGCCGTTCAGGTGCAACACGGCAGAGGGTTTGGGCTGTCGAGAGCAATTAGAGTGCTCACGGTAGGAGTGGGCTGTCACTCAGACCAAGGCTGGGACCCTTGGGAGGCCAAGCAGAAGGAACGGGGACTCAGTGCAGAGCTCAGCAAGCACAGGAGCGGAAGAACCCGCTGGGAAGAGGAGCACCTACAGGTGACTGAAGAGGCCGAGCCTGAGAAACCGGACGCTAGGGAAAAGAGCCTGAGAGCGAGACAGGCGTTTACTGCTTCGGCCTTCACACAGAGCTAGGGAGGCTAGGGCAGGCCAGGGGCCAATCCGGCCGCCCCAGCACCTCGAGATCTTCAGGGTCTGGCTCCAGATGCCATTCGTGCCCCTCATTTTGCTTCCTGCAGCTCCAGTTACCCACAGTCAACTGTGGTCTGAAAACATTAGATGGTCAATTCCAGAAATGACAGTTCGTAAGTAACTCTTATGAACTTTTGTGAACTCCAAGCCCACAGGCTCACGCCCGAGTGTGCACACCCATGCACAAGACACACCCAGCACACCCAGCTGACGATCTCGAGGTGCTGGGGCGGCCAGATTGGCTTGGAGTTCACAAAAATTTAAGTAACTTTTCTTGTGCAATCCTGTTGTAATTGTTCTATTATGTGTCACTGTGCCTCATTTTAAGTCCAGCCCTGTTACAGGAGGTATTTATAGGGAAACCCAGCCTTATCTGGAGTTCAGTGGGGGTGGAGATGACACTAATAACAGTGCAGGAGGAACCACCCAGAGACTGAAGCTGTGGGAAAGATCAGATTTTATTCCTTTACGTAGTCGGGCTGACACTGGAGTGAATATTAGCAAATATCTAAAGGGGGGGACTAAGTATATATAGATTTTAAGGTTGGGGATGTGCAATTTTAGGGAATCTCAAAAAATGTGGATAAAGGGGGCTTGCCTGCCTGGCAAGCGCGACGTTGTGAGTTCGATTCCCGGTACCAGAAAAAAAAATATGGATGAAATGTTTGAGTTTAAGGCCGTAGGGGCAATCAGTGCAGGTGGGTGCACAGAGCTGGCTTCAGGGGACTGCGGGGTGACCTTAGTCGTAAATTAAACTTTTTATTGCCTTTCTTGTTTACCAGGGGCAGCTCTTGCCTGTGGTGGAGAGGCCCTTGTTAGTACTGGGTAGCTCAGCGTCTCTCTCAGGTCACCCTGAGGCCAGTCCTGGCAGACACCACCGCAGTTTCAGGGGAACTCATGCCCTGAGGAGGGGGCTGCTGCGCTCCTTTGGTCTCCACTTTTCCAGGCCCCACGCGCAGCTCACAACAAATCAGAGGGTAGGCACCAGCATTTACATAAAGGAAAGAGACCAAATAAAGCCAGAGGGCATCACACACAGTGAGGTTCCAGCTGGGTGTGCTGGGTGCCTCTCGTGCATAGGTGTGCACACTCGGGCGTGAGCCTGTGGGCTTGGAGTTCACAAAAGCCCTGATTCGCCCCTCCAACCGTCATGATTTGCACGTACCCCGAACACCTTTCACCCTCTTCCTCTCGCCATGTCTTCCTAACGCATCCTCAATCCCGAATAGTGTTTGAGCTCGGGCTTCCTCTGGGGCTCAATCTCCTGGTCATTCAATCCTTGGGGGACCGTGAGCTCCCCAAAGGAAAATCATCTCAGTCACCAGAAGCAGGTGTGAGCAACTGTTCGTGCCTCAGGAACTCAGGGCAGAAGTTACTTTTTGCCAGAACTGTGCTCACCCAGCATGTCTTCCCCGCCTTTCTGCTTGGATCCTGGAAGGAAAGGGACTAGCTTCCCGAGCAGAGCAGGTTCCAGTTCCCTTCCTGGGGGCAGGTGCACAGCTGGGCAGGTGCTTTGGCTCCACCTGCTGGAGAAGGAAGGAAAAGCGATTTAAATCCTGGCGCAGCCCTGAGCCAGCTGACGTACATGAGGGATCTCCAGGGCTCCTGGTCTGGCTTCCAGTGGCATTTGGTCCTTTCACTGTCCCCATGCACACATGTAGGAGAAGAGGGCAGCCGCACAGACCCCAGGTGGCCCGTCTGTTACTAAGCACCAGGAGCCGTGTGTGGGGCCCGCGATGCTGGTCATGAGTACACGGACGGAATATTCATCGGGAGCAGAGCTCAGAAGCAATTACACCGGGAGCCTCCAGGGCTTAGGGGGAGCTTCTGGGACGTCGCCGCAGAAGGCTCTCTTCAGAGGAGACGTGTCCTGAGAGCTGGTAGTGACAAGCCCAGCTCGCCTCCTCCTGTCCCCCTATCACCCAGCTGTCCTGGGCCATCAGCTTTGCCCACAGCCTGCTCTTACCCCCTGGTCTGGCATGAGCCTCCAAAGGAGGAAGGGCCTTCGACTTCAGCACCCGGGTCACAGCGGGCGTGGTGGCACATGCCTGTAATCCCAGCCCTCGGGAAGCTGAGGCAGGAGGGTCGTTGCGAGTTCAAGGCCAGCCTGGGCTACAAAATGAGCTCAAGGCCAGCCTGAACTGCATAGCGAGACCCCCGTCTCAAAAAGACAAAAGAAAACCAACAAAAAACCCCACCCAGGTCACACTCACAGGACCCCATGTGAGCAGCTCACAGAGAGCGAGGGCTGGACAGAGGGATGCTGGGAAGAAGGGTCTGACGCCACTCAGGTGTCCCTGGAAAGAGCGGTGGACATGCTGCAGAGGAAGCCACCAACCAAGGTGGGCGGGGCTATGCCTCCCTTCTGGGTCGTCCTGGGGAGCTGAGCTCGTTACTCTGTGGCTGTACCGGGCAGGGTCTTGGCTCGGGAGCCTCCCGGTGTGCCAGCCTGGTGGGGGCCGCACGGCCCTTGGGTGGAAGCTCCACTTCCTCCTCCTGCCATAGAGTTGCCACCTCCACCAGGTCCTGTCTCCCAGGGCGGACAAGCGGCAGGGCCTGCAGACCCCGTGCTCCAGCTGGGGAAGGGCAGGAACCCGCACACCTCCGCTCTGGTGCGGAAGGACCGGCCCCTCCCTCTGAACTCCGGCAGCGTGCGCAGCTTCTTGAGCACCTGCTGTGCCCACTCTCTGACGGACCCGATCCATTTCTTCTCTGCCTGGCCCACTCTTCTCCGACAGCTATGTGTGTCACCCCTTCCAGCAGAGACAGCTATGTGCGTCACCCCTTCCTTCCAGCAGGGCGGCACCTCCCACATCGCTGCCCCCAGGGAGGAGGCCCCTCTGTCCGCTGGGGATGAATAGATAAACAGAACGTGGGCCATCCCTACAGCAGGACCGCAGTTAGTCCTGAAAGAGGCCTGCTGAGTCACGCGGCACCCTGGAGATCCTTCGCAAACACTGAGTAACTAGGCCGATTGCAGAAGGTGAGACATCGGGACAAACGCTTTGGGGCAGGACCTAGAATAAATAGAGGCTGTCAAGGAGCTGGCAGAGGAGGGGATTAAGTTACCGTTCAGTGAGTCCAAGTTTTCCGTTTGGGACTGTGAAGCATTTCGGGACCAGAGCGAGGCGGTGTTTGCACAGCACCGTGAAGGTACTGAATGCTCCAGGGCTGTGCGTGTGGGAAGAATTAGTCACTGTTTGTGGATTGACCTCAATGCACAGTTAACGATGAGACTAGAACATCTTGTTTGCCAGACAGCGAGCAACTTTATGGTCATAGGAAACGAGGAGGCGACGTCAAAATGAACCGGAGCCAGACTGCCCTGGTCAGATTGGGAGGAATCTGTGTTCGCTCATGCAGCGGGACATTAGAAGAGCGACAGAGAGGCGCTATGGCTGCCCAGCCTAAGGGCGAGTCTCAGTGGGATGTGCAGACGCAGTGGGATGTGCAGACGCGGGGGAAGAACCGCGGAGCCGGCGATTCCGGCCGCAGAACGACAGCAGCAGAAACCGGAAACCGGTCGGCTGTCGGGGCCAGGGGCTCAGGACCAGGGGCTCGGGATGTGGGGAATCAAGGGAATGGACTTGTTTCAGGACGATGGAATCCTTTAGCATAACGATCGTGGTGTGGCTCATCAACAAAGCTGATGGGAAAGGAATTCGCTCGTGTTTGCAAGGGGCTTCACGTTTCTCTTTAACTGTTTGGGAGATCATGATGTCCCCAGGCCACGTGACCGTGTGGTCACAGAGGGTCAGCGGCTGGCCCCAAGCACAGATGAGGATAAGAGATACTGCCTGGTTCCTAAACGGCGCAGGACAGAAAGGAGTGCGGCTGTGCGGGGTTGAAGCCGCGCCCTGCAGGAGCAGCACCCCTCCGCTCCGGAAACCCCTGTGGTCCCCGCAGCCTGGGTCGGCCCCGCCCGCCCACGGCGCAGATGCTGCGTCCTCTGGTGCCACCGTGTGGTAGCCAGACAGAACAGCAGCGGCGAGGATGGGCTAGATGCAGGCTCCTCGGAAAAACTTGCTGTCCTGACTGTGGGGCTTCTGGACCCTCTGGTTTGAGTATGTGGAGAGGGGCAGGAACCGCAGAGAGCCTGCGCTTTCTGACAAGGGAGTGTGAGCGGAAGGGATGGCTCTGGGGGTAGGGGGAAGGGAAGGTGGGGCTGGACAAGAGCGCTTGTCCCCCTCAGGCTCCCTGGCACCCTGGAAGGGGCTGGGCGGGTGGCGCGGGTCCCCAGGGGAGCAGCCCACGACCCAGGCCCTGGGCCCGAAAAGCAGTGGGGAGGTGGAGGCCAACTCCGCCGCAGCTCAGTGCCCGGGTGAAGGCGGGCCACACGCCCGTGCTATGGGCTCGCGGCCTGTGTGGGGCCCTGGCCGCCTCGAGCTGAGCACAGCGGCAGCAGCAGGACCTGCCTCGCGGCTCCCAGCACCCGGCCCCAGCGCACTCTTCCGCTGCGGTCCCTCCATGTCCCGAAATCTCCGACACTCACTTGCTGCTGCGCTGCTTCGTGAAGGTGGTGCCCCCGTGGGACCTACCGTGTCTCGGCTCCGATCCCGGGCGGTGGCGGTGGCCGGCAATGGCAGGCACACGGGGGACCCTGGCGGCACTGTGCACACAGCCATGATCCCGGGGCTCAGAGTCGGGGTGCAGCGGGGGCCCCGGGTTGTCTTGCTGAAGAGGCAGGTGGAGCAAGGACAGCACCCAGCAGGCCACTGGCACCAGGATCAGGAAGCCAGACAGCAAGGATGACGTCCAAGCATCAGAGACATGGGTGAGGGACCCCAGGCATGCGCCGTGGCCTGTCCACCCCGGGTGCTGTGCCTGCAAGCCTTGTGTGGTCAGACCAGATCGTCCCCTCCTGACAGCGTGCATGACTCCTGTCCCTCCCCAGCTACAGACCCAGGACACCCGCAGACCTTGGCAGCCCTGGTACCTGCCCTGTCAGACGAGCATGAGCTCTTCTCCCTGGCGGCTCCCACCTTCACCTCTCTCACTTACGGTGGTGGCGCGGTGAGAAAGGGTCTTCATGCATAGCCCAGGCTGGCTGCAAGCTTGCAGTGATCCTCCTGCTTCAGCCTCCTGAGTGCTGGGATTAGAGGCCTGCACCACCACACCCAGCCTTTTACTTTCAATAAATCTGACTCTGGTTCTTCCTTCTGAGTGTCCTCAGTTCTTTGTTGGGGACACCAAGAACCTGGATGCTACTTGCCTAGGTCCTTCTCTGATGGCACTGGCAGGCCTGGGGGTGGAGGTGTGACGGGCACAACGGGGAGTGCTGGCACTGAGGCGGGGGCGGCTGCAGCTGCACACACACTGTGGCTCGGTGGGGTCCAGCCCTCTGGCCTGGGGCGCCCCACTCTTGGGCCCGGCTGGAGGCCACGGCTGGGGTCTGGGTGACAGGGACCCTGAAGTCGTCTTCTGGGACAGAGCAGGTGGAGGTTGCGCAGTGGCCCACGGGGAATGGTTTTCCTGGACCCGACCTTGGTGTGAGCTGCCCTGTGCAGTGGCGCTGGCCCGGTACTCCTGAGCTTCGTGCATTCCGGGCTTGTGTGTGCCTCGCCCTCCCGTCTCAGGCAGCGCTCTGGCAGGTCCCCCACGCTGTGATCAGCGGCAACAGCTCACCCCTCTGGGACAGAAAGTTATTCTCAAGCATGCATGCTTGTGAGTGTGGCATAGCGCTTGCATTTCTTTTTACTTTTCTTTCCTGTGTGTAGTGCTGGGGATGGAACCCAGAGCCTGTGAACTGAGCTACATCCCTGGCCCTTTGTTTTGTTTTTGAGATAAGTTTTCATTAAGTCCCTAAGTTACCTAGGCTGGACTCAAACTAGGAACCCTCCTGCCTCAGCCTCCCAGAATGCTGTGGTTTTTTAATTTGTTTTTGGTACAGGGAATCGAACTCAGGACCTTGCCCTTGCCAGGCAGGTGCTTGTGCTGCTGAGCTATATCCCCGGCCCCTCCCAGAATGCTGTGATTACAGGTGTGAGCCACCACAGCTGGCTTCCCTGTTTGTATTTGGGACCTTTTTTCATTTTTCACTTTTTGAGGCCTTTTTCTTATTTGAGGAACACCTGCACGTGATCTCCAGAGAAAAGTAGCTCTAAAAGTCTCAGGCCCATCCAGCCTTCTTTCCCTACATGCCCATCTCTCAAAGCAGACTGAAGAGAAATTTTGACCCAACTAGCATTCACTACACCTTCGTGTCCAAGCACGTGTCACCCTGCATCTCTTGCCTGGCTAGAGGCGAAGGCCTGGCCCAAGTGCCCAGGAGCCCAGAGCAGCCTGGGTCTCGCTTATCACACAGGCCCCCATTTGTCTTGTGTCCCTCCAAGGTAGCTGGCGGTCCCAGAACAAAACCTCCACGTTCACTGCGTGGCGAGGGCGGGGCAGGTAACGGTCACAGCCAGCCCCAAGTCCCGTCAGGCTCCGTCCACCCCTGCAGTCACCATTCACCCCTCAGTGGCTTAGAAAACGTCCTGCCAGGAGGTGCCCGGTGATACAGGACTGATATCAGGACCTCCAAGTGATCGAAGGGAAATTTTGAAGGGAAATATTTCTCCCAACCTGCTAGATGTCCGATGTGCCGAGTGCGTGTTCCCCAAAATTGAAGAGTGAATTCTGAGAAGTAATGGAAGTGAAGAGTAGAAAATTTTATCGAGGAAAAGAACCCCTACCTAAGAGAGATGGGAGGGGCCTGAAAGTGGGTTGCCCGTGAGCCCACTTCTCAATGGAAGTTTTACAGAGCAGAATCACGGGGTGGATACAAAATAATGAGGTGGGTAGAAGGTGGGGCAAAACTACGTTCAACCAGTAAGATGACAAGTACAGTCGCTTAGATAACATTGATGTAATGGGGAAGCAAGCCATGTAGCAATTGTACATGGAAAGAGCGAGTTGTTTATGGTAGGCGTCTTCATTGTGAGTATTGAGAACCCTTAGGAAACGGCTTCCGGGGCACTTAGCACTGCACACCTTTGAAGACACTCAGGAGAGAGGACTCCAGAAGTGCTTCTGAAAGTGGTGGGAAGGATGGGATGAGTCCATTTGAGGACAGTGAAGTATTCTGGGGAGGATTTCCCTCAGGGCACCTTTTGCTGCAATGTATTTTTATAGGTTCGAACACTCCTTGTATATTTTGCTCACACGTCAGAGATGCTAACAGAGAGAGGATACAGACAGCGGCATTAACTGGCTCCATGTTAAAAGAGCTTTTGAAAACTGTCCCCAGCAAGTAAGAGATAACACTCACGAAGTGACGGGAAATCTCAGGAAAGACGCAGAAGACGTAAAGAACAACACGATGGAAAATTTAGAACTTGAAAAGTCCAATAACAAATGTTTAAAAGTCATCAGATGGACTCCATAGAAGAACGGAGATGCGGGCCGGGGATGTAGCTCAGCGGCACAGCGCCCACCTGGCAAGCATGAGGTTCTGAGTTCGATTTCGGGTACCAAAAAAAAAAAAAGAATGGAAATGACAAGAGCCTGTGAACCTGGAGACAGCATCGGCAGAAAGCAGCCCATCTAAACAAGGAGAGAAAGAAGCTTGTAAGCCATTACCAGAGCCTGAGGGAACATGGGACATGGACATCTAACATTTGTGTCCTCAGTGTCCCAGAAGAGGGAAAAGCATAGAGAAGAAAATACTCTTGAAGAGCTAGCGGTTGAACACCCCAATTTCAACACAACGTAAATCTACAGAGTCAAGAACCTCAGTGAATCCCAAACAGGATAAATTCATCGAAATCCACACCTCAATGCACCATAATAAAACTGCTACGAAATAAAGACAAAATCTTGAAGACAGCCAGAGAAAATTGACACATTATTTATAAAGGAACACTGATTCCATTTATAGCAGCTGTCTTCTTGAAAGTCACAGAACTCAAAAAGAAGTGGGAACATAATACTGAAAAAAAAAAAAAAAAAAAAGAATTGCTAATCCAAAACTCTACTCTAAAATATCTATCAGGAATGGGAATTAAAATATAAAATTTAAACATTCTCAGATTAAAGAGAATTTGTGGCCAGCAAACCTACTGGAATTTTTAGTAGATTTGGAGAGAAAAGAAACATCTTAACAACACTGACTCTTTCGATCTAGGAATATAGTGTATCTTTATATTCACTTCCTTTTTAAATTTCAGCAACACTGTATGGTTGTTGGCATAGCAGTCTTGCACATACATTTTAACATCAACTTCTGGCCAGGCGTGGTGGCGCACGCTTGTAATCCCAGCACTCAGGAGGCTGAGGCAGGAGGATCGTTGTGAGTTCGAGACCAGTCTGGGCTACAAAGTGAGCTCAAGACCAGCCTAAACTGCAGAGCAAGACCCTGTCTCAAAAAGAGCCACCCTGCAAAAGAGTAAAATCAGTCTCTGTTTTGTGTCTATGTTCTGTTGTTCATGGTATTGTAATTATATATTCAATTCACGTTTTATTGCTCGTTCTTAGAAATAATAATTCAATGTGGTCTGAAATGCCCCAGATTCTAAAGATAGTCTAGCAACTAACCTAGCTTATGCTAACCAACCACTTCCCAGATCTACTTACTAACCTCTGCCATGGACCCTGTGACTAGCCCAGCCCCCCAGCTCTCCGGGCACTCTTCCTGGGTACTGTCACTCCCAGTCCGAGACGATACCAGCATCCACCGGGGCTGTGCTCTCCCTTGCTAGGTTTAATAAACAGCTTCACATGACGACCATGGCTGCCTGTTGTCGTTTAGCTGAGCAGAGAGTCGGGGGTCATGCAAAGAAGGCTAGGGAGGACACACAAGCCCACTGCGCAGCCCCCCAGAGGCAGAGGGCCCTCCCCAGGCTGCCTGTCTTCCCACTGTGATGCAGAGGGGCCAGTGCAGTGAGGAGGCGCAGGTCCAGCCTCGTTCTGTGGGGCTCCCGACTCCACAACAGGTTTGCTGTGTTCGCCTTAGGAATAAAGAGCCCAGAAGACACTTAATTATGTGAGCAGGTCGGTATTGATTTTAATTTCCTTGGTGAATGCGTTCATTATCTATTTTTGGGTTACAAATTACTCCAAAATTGAGCACCTTAAGTCACAAATATTTACTCTTCTGTAGTTTCTGAGGGCCAGGAGCCTGGGGGTGGCCATACCACGCGGTTCCGGGACAAGGTCTGGTACGCACAGGTTCAGGGAAGCCTGACTCATTTCCAAGCTCATTTGCACGAGCTTTGCCAGGCTGCAGCTTCTTGCTGACTTCAGTTCTGCACCATCTGGGCCTCCCCGTGGGTTTCCTGACATGACAGCTCCCTCCCGCAGAGTGAGGCATTAGAGATTGAGAGGGAGGGAGGGAGAGAGAAACATGATCACAACCTCAGCTGCAGTCCTTTTGTGGCCTAACCCCGGAAGCGCCACACCATCACCTCTGCTGTGTGCTACCGTGACACTGTCACATTACACAGCGCACCACACAGGCTGTGATTACTAGTGGTTAAGGACCCCTAACGTTGGAGCTGCCTGGAAGCTGCTTCCCTCAGTCAAGGTCTGCAGAAGCGCTGCTTGGCCCAGACTCACCTGGCTGGCTGTCGGGTGCAGTGTGACCACTACAGCCTCCCTTACCGGGCCCTGTTCATCACTAGAGGCCAAGCTGCCTGAAGCCAGCGTGCCACATGGTGGGAACTTAATGAAAGAGAGTAAGTCTTCGGGGCAGGCACACGGGGCATCACTGTCCACACTTAGTGGAAAGCTGAGCGATTCAGTCAACATCTGCTTTGCACGGGCCCAGGCATTGCCAGGCGTGTCACGCTTCAGAGCCGATTCTCCCAGTCCCTGCTTCAGTGCCCCGGCTCCTGGCTCTGCTCTGATGAGCAGCTTGCTCCCGTCACCTTCACACCCCACTCCCAGCCCACCCGCTGGTCCTAAGGCCTTTGGGTGCCTAGCATTGGTATCACAGCTGCAGTCCTGTTGTTCCACCGTTATCTGAACGCCACCTCGTGAAATGTGGTAAGCTTGGCCTCCACCTGTGACTACACGGCAAATTCTGTGCACGTTCCAGGTGTGCCTGAGATCAGTCGTTGTCCTCATGGGCACACTCCTAGCTCACATCCAGCTGTGTCACTCAGATCTGCATCTTTAGTTAACAGGTTAATAACCCATAGTATTGTGGGCTGATCAGGCCTGCAATCTCCCAAATGAGTGGACAGCGAAGCCTTAAATAAATGACACAGTTGAAATGATTTCAGGGCTCCAGGAGGATCCAACTCTCTTACAGAATTCGAGATCCTCTGGGTTAAGACAAAGACTTCCCTGGGCAGCCTGTATTTATTTGGTTTACAAACAAAGGGGAAGGATACTCAAGAAAACGTGGGAATCTGAGCAGGACGTTGGGAGATATTTTCCCAAGTAGTAAACTACGTCAGTCAGGAGAACTACCTTATCTTTAGGCTGGCATTTATTGTAGGAGTGTGGAGCCTGCAGCTGCAGTCTCCTTGTAGTTAACTAGGGTTGGATCCAGACATCTTCAGCTGTGGCCTTGTCTTGTCCTTTGAGGCGTCACAGCTTCACAGCCAATACAGGCCTCAGGGTGACCAGGGACTCACAGAGGTTCACTTACTATGAGTCGACTGCCCATCTCCAGACCAGCTGCCTAAGCTTTGGACAACTCACAAGTAAACATGGAAAGCCAGTTGGTTAATATTAAATCCTGCTCAGAGCCGCTTCATCCTGGTCTCTGTCATTTAGTGATTTTTTTTTTCATGTGTGATCTTATAAGCTACTGAATGATATATTACATATGAAAGTCTCCAGTATGACGGCGAACGTCAGGTTTTCCTTGTAGCTCTTTATGTATGATTAGAAGTATATGAGTTTTATCTTCTGGGTAATCTCGCACCATTACACAGGGGCTGTCCTTGCCCTAGAAGAGGAGAAAAGGGAAGGAGAGAGAGAGACAGGGGAAAGTGGGAGTCTGGGAGGAGGCCAGGTGCAGACAGGTTTCTATGTGAGCTTTTTATTTTTTTTTTGGTTTTTCTCCAGTACCGGAAATTGAACTCAGGACCTTGCACTTGCCAGGCAGGCGCAGTGCTGCTGAGCTAAATCCCCAGGCCCTATGTGAGCTTTTTAGTTCCTTGCAAACAGGTGATAATCAGCCTGTGGCCTGGACAGTGTTGTCAGGTCCTACTGCTAGCAGCTCCCTGGGGTCACTCCACACTGGGTTAGCAGCACACGGAGCTTTGTATTAGAAAAGTCGCTTTGGGGCGGCCCTGGGATATTTCCTCCTTCACTCAGTGCAAGGCGCGAGGCCATGGCTTCCAGGTCTCCTGGTTTCTTCGCTTTCATTTCGGGGTTCTGCACAACCTTGGCTCTGTGTGATGCCGGCACACGGTACCGTTGTGTGCGCATGGCTGAGCCTGGGCCTGTGCTATGCTGAGCAGGTGCTTACCGCTGAGCCACATCTCCAACTCCAGGTGAAAAGAACCTTACCTACTATTGTACTATTTTCACTGAATCTGTTTGCTTCTAGACTTTGGAAGCCCCTCTCTCCCTGGGCAGTCAGCTCAGTACCGCCACCTCCACTGCGCTCTGCTCGGCTGCCCCACCCCAGGGGACACGGGAAGTCACAGCACCTCGAGCCCGCCCACTGCACCGTCCTCCTCACTCATGGCAGGGCTGCATGCCGACAGCTCGGTCACATTTGCATCTCTGTCTCCCCAGCAGAAAGGCAGCGTGATTCCAGCCCTGAGTCAGCTTCCCTTGGGGGCCAACCCCATGTCCCCTGCCCCATCCCGCCTCCCGAGGAGGGCATGACGCCCACCACAGACACGTCCCCTGGTGACGGCGCCTGGCGAGGCGGCTAGGGCACCACTCAGGACACAAAGGACTGGAAGGAGCCTGGAATCCAGCCGTGTCTCCCTTCAAAAGGAGGGGAGGTTTTCCAAAGGACCCCGGCTAGGCCTCCCCCTCTTCAGGGCCTTTCGATGCGGCTGTGTGTTTAAGTCCACAGGAAACCTCCAACGCCACTGCTCGCGTATGAGCTCAACTATCACCACACAGACCGCGACGGAATCACTTCCAACAGTTTGAAATTATATTTCACATAAACAATTGTGAAAACTTTGTATACTATTTTTAAGAACAACATGAAGGAGGGCTCGAGTATTTTCTCTTCCGTGAGATGTTCCAGCCCGGAGTTGTGTGAGGGGAGCCATTCCAAGGTTACTTCCAGGGGATGCCAACGTCTGAGCCAGGATTTCGGCACAAGGTGAAGATGCGCCTCAGACGCAGAGCAGGTGGCTGAAACCCACGCACAGGCGCAGCCTCCTGCTGACGGACTCCGCACCCAGTGCTCACAGCCACCTGGGTTCCGGCCCAGCACCTCTGCCCTAAGGGTGTGTGCGCCAGGCCCGTGCTGGAAATCAACCTCATAGCCAGCTTCACAGAAAAATACCCTCATACAAAACAAAGCGTGGGGATAAAAACACCAGGCACCAGGAAGGGTCATTTGGGCTACCGGTGCCATTCGGGGTCTTGGAGGGAAGCTCGGTCTGATGCGCTGGAGTCAGCCCAGGCTCCCCCACAGGGTTCCGAGCCAGGGCGTCAAAGACGCAGTCTGCCTGCTGCGTGTCAGCCAGAGTCCCTGCAGCTGCCTGCTGCTGCTGTGTCCCTGTCACCTCCTCATCTCCGCCCCGTGGACGGAGCGGGTGTCTCTAGAAGCAATGAGAAGTGGCCAAGGAGCACAGCAGCAGCACACTAGCCTCAGCAGCCCTTCTGGGTGATGTCCCGTCCCGACGACTTGGTGATGTCCAGGGTTGTGAACACCTGTGCACAAGAAAGGAAACACATAGGTACACAGACGTGACCGGTGCTTTGGGAGAACACCCACACCACCGCTTAAAATACACACGTCAGCCAGGGGTAGTGGTGCACACCTGTAATCCCAGCACTCAGGAGACTGAGGCAGGAGGATTGCAATGAGTTCAAGTGTGGCCTAGGTCACACAGAGAGTTCAAGGCCAGCCTGAACTACATATGAGACCCTGACTCAAAAAAACAAAAACAGAAACAAAAACAAAAAACCTGCTACTAAGAATAAGTCTTTCTGACTTGTACTTTATAATGGTTTTTCAAATATCATCAAGTGAAGCCAAAGAAGAAACCTGTTCCCTACCTCTCCGCATGTGGGGTGGATCCCAACAGTGTGATCGAGCAGCTGTTTCGTTAGTCCGCATTTCATTGCGGCCGCAAACCCTTGGGTGATCTCGCCAGCGTTCGGTCCAAGAACATGAAATCCTACCACACGATCCTTTAAGACAGGCAACGACAGAGTCAGGTAGGTTAATGATCTGAACAAAAACCCGTCCCCTGCAAGCTCTTGGTAAGATTTAGAGCTCTCCTTCAGGAAAGGGAAACTCCAGTGTTCAAGCGAGCAGAGAACATTGCCAGGAAAGGGAGCCGCGGCCGGAATCTGTGAAATGAGCCGGTGAATGCACGGCCAGAGTCAACGCGCACTCAAATTGACCAGAACAAGCCATTTCCCCCCTGTGAGAAGGAGTTCATTAGGGCGATGGAAATTGCTGAATTATCCAGGGACGGTGTGCAACAACAACATGGCAACTCTAAATTAAAGTCTGATGCCAGAATAATCCCCAGATGTCAGGGCGACTGAAACGCGAGGCCGCCAGCCCGGGAAGCAGGATGCCGTCTCCGATGCGGAGCAGAGACCAGGGCAGCCGGGGCTGGCTGTCACCAGGCGTCCGTCCTCAGGTCTCCCTGCACATGGCAAACGACCTGTGGTGGCAGAGGCGAGACTCTCAGATTCCGGGGACAGTGTGCTTAGTCAGGGCAAAGAAGGAAAGACAGTAAAGGGCAACAGGGGACAGGGCAGGGCGGCTCTGCCCACGCTGATGGTGCTGTCAAGGCTGGGGTCAGGGAAGCCGACCTCGCGCAGCGCTCAGAGTCCTGGGCGGGTGGAAGTGCGGTTGCCAGGACCACGGGCGGCTGTGGGGTCAAATTCTGGGCTGCGTCAGGCAGCAGCCGGGGAGGGGGAAGATTCCCCTGGGAGCTGAAAATGAAGGTGGGCTGGGCCAGGCAGTGTGCAATGTTTTCTCCGTACAGCAGAGTTAAAATCTTGTTTTCATTTCACAAATACAGGGTTGATACCCAGGAAGGGCTGCTTGCAGCTAGGGTGCAGCTTAGGGCGGGGCGCTTGTCTCACATGTGTGAGGCCCCAGGTGCGAGGCCCGGCACCAGGAAGAAGAGGCGGGGGAAGGGCTGGAGCACGGAGGGAGAAAAGGATGGACATCTAGACAGAGGAAGGAAAGGCTCACTCTGCCTGTCTCTGGTGGCTGGTGGCAAGTGTGAGGTCACAACCTGGGGACCTGGCAGTGCTGAGGGTGAGCAGAGGGGACAGAGCAGATGGGACAGGCCCTGAGCACTGCCTAGGGCTTGCGGCCACAACCAGCACTTCTTTGAAGAGGCTACAGGTCTCATCACAGCAGGGCCCTCCCAGCCACCCGCTCAGGCCAAGAGGGCAGCAGTGTGAATCACAGCATCACCTTTCCTTTCAGAAAGGCTGCCCCACCAGGCACTGTGGTACATGCCAGTAATCCCAGCACTCAGGAGGCTGAGGCAGGAGGATCGCTGAATTTGAGGTCAGCCTGACTACACAGTGAGACTCTGTCTCAAGAAAAAAAAAAGAAAGAAAGAAACCAAGCAAACAAGAGAGTAAGGAAGGAAGAAAGGCTTCCCACCACTCCTACCTCGGGCTCCCATGACTTCTCCCCAAAGGACCTGAATGCAGTCCTCACCAGGGAGAGCACTGCCAGCCTGTCCCACAGGGTAGCACGCCAGGGCCGCTGTGACCATCCTCCCCATCACTGCCGTGGGGACAAGTGCAGCGTGGGCTCTAAGTCCCAGAGCCCAAGTGGTGAGGGTTGATCAGATGTGTCAACTTGAGTAAGAGAAGCTTAACTAAATTGGCTCAGCAATTGCACACCCTAGGGTATAGAAGACCCGCCCTAGGGCAGCTTCTTGCCTGGATGGTATAAAGGGGCAATGAAAGATGGATCTGCTTGTTTCTTCGGAGGAGCTCCAGTCTTCGCCTTTACTTGTTGCCTGCCTTCCAGGGCAGACCTTTTGGCTTCAGACGCAGACTCTTGAGCCTGCCGTTTCAGACCCACTGGCCCTCTAACACAACTTGCACAGGACACTGCAGTGAGCTCCAGACCCTGGACTGAAACCTTCAGTCTCCAGCGTGCAGACACCCTCTGCATGCTTCCTCATCCAGTTCTGTGGGTGGCCATTGTAAGCCAGTCTTGTAATTTCATACACATTTGTATATCTTGTGTTATATCTGTTTCTCTAGCAAATCACTGACTAACACACGTGCCAACAGGCTGGTGGCCTGGGATCCCCACTGTCTGTCATCTCAAGAATAGGACAACATGGAGACACGGTCTCACTTCATCCTCACAAGGGCGGCTGTACGTGCTACTTGTACTGATGATTTCATGCCTGATCTGTCCAGGGAGAATGAACAGGGCCACACACATGCCTGCTCCACTGCTGAGGCCCACCCTGCCCCAGCCAGACTGCAAATCCTTAGAGAAAGAACCGGATCTTCCCACCGTGGTCTACAGCCGAGATCATCACAAAGCAAGTCCTCAGTAAGTTGTACTCTCACCTGCCTTGGGAGCTCATTGGCTCTCCCACACCTCAGGAACAGCTGTCACCCCTTCTGAGGTTCTAATGTGAAGCCTGTCAGCTCTCTGCCCATCCTGGGATCCACTTCCCCAGGAAGGTGAACGTCTTCCCAGGACTCCCCTTCAGTTGCTTCCACAACACACACACACACACACACACACACACACACACACACACACACGGTACTATGCTGGGTAACAATCCCAAGCACTATGCTCATCCCATCCTAACCATCCATCCTGAAATACCCTGCAGTGCAGATGACATCCGGGACATATCTGTCAGCCTGATGACAGTCCACCCAACAACCTCTGTGCACGCATGTATCCCCTGAGAACACTGACGAGGTGACAGAACTCCAAACTCTACCCACAAGGGCTACCATTTTTTAACCTGTAATGTAAATACATACATAGGACTGCAGCCTTTCAGCTGCAGTCGTGTTACATACATTGTCAAGCTTGTTGCAGATGATCTTCGCATAGCAAGTGTTGTTGTCTCTGCCGGCCACCGTCCACTCCAGCGGCCAGAACAAGGTATGGAACACCTGTCGATGAGAAGAGGGAGAGAAAGGCCGAGGTGAACATCCATGAAGACCACTTCTTGCCACACTGTTTAATTCTGCAAGGACAGGGCTCTTCACACGGCCTGCAGAGAGATTCAAAGATCAATGGGGCTGACCTGAGGTCTGGGGTAGGAGCATCCGAGCTGGAGCCCCGTGAACGTTATGCACACAAGTGTCCTGAGTCTTTACAACTCAGCTGTCACAGGGAAAACAACCCTAACAACTCAGTTCAATTTCTGAACATGTACAGAGTACGGCCCATCTAAGGCAGCACACTAGACCCGGGATGGGCTGAGGAGGTGGAGACTGAGCCACCGCCTGCAGCGCACAGGGCACTCCAAGTCGAGAAGGGCAGCTGTGACAACCGTGCTCGCCACTCGGAGGTGGAGCACGTGACCCGGAAGTGGGGACTGTGCACTGCACACTTCTGTCCTGAGTCCCAGCCAGAGCCCTGGAGGACGCCTACCCCAGGCAGCCCTCCACCGCTCAGGACGGTAATGCCCCCCAGGGCATCCCCTCAGCCACTCCACACAGAAGGCGGGGAACAATGCTCAGTGCCAGAGAAGTGTATTCTGAGCCGTAATCCACGAGTGGAGTGAAACTGTTTAGGAGCCCAGCAGGACACAGTCATTTTGAGGAAGTGTCCGCGGCTGGGGCATGTGCAGCTAGGATGATGCTATAACTGAAAAGCGCTGTCACGCTTCCTAGTAACAAAGATCATTGTTTTTAACAGAAGAGAAACTCACCCATTTTAATGCCCATGTTTCAGTTTCTGACTGTTAGGAAGAGAAAACAAAGGTTTCTTTCCCACAAGATCCAGTTTCCTAAGATCTCCCTCTCGGGTAAAGGGGGAGCTTCCGGCATGGTTTAGGAAGCAGCGAGCCTCTACTTTGACCCCGCCGCAGAGTAAGGAAGCTCCAGCTTCCTCTGTCTCCCCTTCTGTGTCCCCTACCTCCCCTGGGTTTTGGTAAATGTGTGTTCTAACTTGGAGGCTTTTACTGGAAGCCTTTGGCCTAGTGCTTCAAAGCGGGTGTGCGGTATGGATCCAGCTGTTCCGTCCTCTCGGGCTCCAGCTTACTCCACCGGCCCCGAGTGACCGAGCTGTCTTTTCCCACTGACTAGCAGAGCTCCTACACCACACCGTCACCCTTACGAGCATCCATCCGCTCTGGATGTCGTGTTGCCCGCTGTATGCCTGCAATGCACAACTGTGATGACTGGCTATGTCGTAGATCTTCCTATCCATTGGTCTCCTCCCCTCTTCATTCAGTCTTCCAATTGATTATTGCTTATATTTTTTTTACAGTTTTAATTTTTGTCAAGTTACGTACCATCATTTAACATTATTTTCAAAGCTGTTAAGCAAGACAATGATCTCTGCCCCTGAGGACTTCAACCGACCCAGAGGCCCCTGTGTTTAATCCTTGTATTTTTTTTGTGTGTTTATCTTCATGTAAAAAAAACATGCTTAAACCGGTTCCACCTGACTTCCGGTTTGAAGCTTTGCTTATGAACTTGCCTCCGTGGAGGAGGAGGCCCCTCCGCCTCTCAACACCCTACATTCTCAGCTGTACAATTCCCAGGGCTTCCCGTACTCCAGAAAGATGCGCAGAGACAGTGGAAAGCCACACCCACAAGCGTGAAAAACAAAGCATTTCTTTAGGGCAGTTCTGTGGGCACTGAACTCCTTCCATCTTTGTTTTTCTGGATGTCTTCATTTCCCCTCCTTTTTTAAGGAATAGTTTGGCTGAGTACAAAATTTTTAGGTGGCAGTTTCTTCTCTCCAGAGTTAATTTATTTTATTATTACTATTATTATTGTTTTGTCTTTTTGAGGCAGGGTCTTGCTATGCAGTTCAGACTGGCCTTGAGTTCACTCTGTAGCCCAGGCTGGTCTGGAACTCACACTGATCCTCCTGCCTCAGCCTCCCAAGTGCTGGGATTACAGGCGTGTGCCACCACGCCCAGCTCTCCAGAGTTTAAATATGTCATCCCCTTGCCATCTGGCCTTCGTGATTTACGGTTTATGGTGAAAAACCAGCTGTTCGGTTACTGCTCTCAAAACTGTCTGGAGTCCGACAGGTGGCCTGGATGGACTCAGCGTTCATCTACCCTGGTGTTCCCTGGGCTGTCTGGTGTGTGGGTCCGTGTTTTTATTAACTGTGGGAGTTCTTGCCGTTATTCACTTAATCTTTTCCTGCCTCTCTCTCCTCTCTTCAGCTTCAGGGACCTGGCCATGTGCGCACCAGGGCTTCACATTTCCTGTAGATCTCTCAGGCTCTTTCCATTTTTCTTTACTCTTTTTCACTCTGTTCCTCAAACTCGGTCATTTCCATTGTCTTAGCATCAAGTTCGCCGATTCTTTTCAGCCTCTTCCAATCCGGTTCTAAGCCGTTTGTTCTGATTTGCACCTAGATGTCCCCTCAAAGCCTCATGTGGTCACTGGTGGAGCTTTTGGGGGTGGCTGGATTTAGGGTGTGTGCTGCTGGGATCAAGGGTGTGAGGTTGGAATTGATTCATGGTGTGATGCTAGGATTAAGGCTGCCCTGCACCAGGTGTGAGTGCTCCACACCCTAAATGTGGGTAGCCTGGATCAGACATAAGGGACTGAAAAAAGATCACTGCTTGTGGCTTGCTGCTTCTTTGCTACTTCACTGCCTTCTGCCCCCCATGAGCTGTTTCTCCTCTGCCATGCCCCTCTGCCTTGCCTCCCTGCTGTGGAGCCAGCCAACCACGAATGGAAACCTCTACAAACTGTGAGCTACATTAAACTTTTCCTTCTTGAAATTTGGGAGTTGGGTATTTTACCTCAGCAACAAAAAAAGTAACTAAGACATCCCTCTTGTGAGTTTTTCAATTCAGTTACAGTTTTCTGGGCCAGAGTTTGTTTGGTTGGTTTTTGTCACTTCTTTCTCTTTGCTGATACACTTGGTTTGTTCATTTGTTGTTATCTTGATTCCTTTAATTCTTTGTCCGTAGTCTCCTACAGCTCACTGAACATATTTAAGACAGTTGATATAATGTCTTTGACTAAAAATTCCAGTGCTCTAGGAGGAGACCATCTGAATCCCTTATATAGAGTTCATGGGTCCTGGCTTTATAATTTCTGATAAATTTATGTTCCTATGAATGGGGCTTACTTTCCTGGTCTTTACATTGTTATGATGTGAATTATATCTACATTATCTCAAGTCATGTTGAATTCCCAGTCTTCAGTACCTCAGGGGAAACAGGGTCACTGTTGATGTTATTAGTTAAGATGAAGTCGTACTGAAGTAGAGGGGATCCTCTAATCCAGTGTAACCAGTGTTCTTATAAAAGCACACACACAGCGATGCTATTCGGACAAACAGAATGACAGGGACACCAGCAGCCAGCAGGAGCCTGCAGAGAGGGAAGTCCACATCTCTGCTGAACTCACAAGGAACGACCCCGTTCACCTCAATCTCAGACTCCTGGGCCCCGAAGGTGAGATGATAAGTCTTGTTTAAGTGACTCAGTCTGTGGTTTGGGCAGCCTGAGCAAAGTAATGCACTGATTCTGCTGCTTTTGGTTGAGAGCTGAACAAGGCGATAGGATGCGGTGGCTCTGGAAGTCACATGTGCCCTCCTAAGGGACTGCTCAGCTCGCTTGTGGAGGACTAGTGTTGTCTGTGAGTTTTTCACTCTTGTGCAAAGTGTGCATTCATTGTTGGGCGTGGTTGCTGAGGCTCCTGCTCTGTTTTCTCTGTGGTCAGCCAGCACCCTCACAAAGATTTCCCAGGGGTCTGACTCCCGCGGGGCGGCGGTGGCCAGGGTACTGTCACTTTAGCTTCAGAGGGCTCAAAGAGTGGTGGTCTCTGTGCTGGACACTCAGGAATCACAAGCAGAGGTCCGCAGTCGAAGGGCACAACCTCCGTGTGGGAGGACAGGCTCCTTACTGCCACCCTGGCAACACCAAGCCGAACCATGAGCACGAGTGCTGCCGGACGGTGGCACCCGGCACCTCTAGAAACGTGGAAATTCCCGGAAACACACAAGCCTCTCTGTCAGGCCCTCCCTGCAGGCTGCAAGGGTTCAGCTCAACTCCACGGCTCCAAGACAGTGACTCAGGACACTGCAGCAGCACATGTCACAGCGACAGTTGGGAAGCCTGATGTAGCAAAGGCAGAGACAGGACCCGTGAGTCTTGGCTACGGGACTCGAGTGGGGCGGCCCTCTCTTGTCACTTTGTCTAAGTACAGTAACTCACCTCATCTCTTTTCCCTGATTTCACATGTAAGATTTAATAAAGTGTAATCTGAACATCTCAGAAAACAAAAATATCAAGCATTAGTAACTGTCAAACTCTTTTTATTTCTCTTTCTCCTATGTTGGGAGGGTGAGCAGAAAAAAAGGCCAAAATATCCCCCAAAATATGACATAAGAAGCTACTGTTTATGTTACTATGCTGGCAGGGTCTGGGTAGTGGACATCTTTTTGGCAACCTGAATAGCCTGCAGCAGAAGGCCACCTTGGGGCTGCCACCTTGGCCACTCTAGGCCCTGATGTGACAGGGTGCCGGCTGCACCAGCACAGTGGAGGGACGCCCGGCCCATGCGTCCAGCCAGGGCTGAGTAACACTGAGCCCAGGTGAGCCCAGAGCTCCTGCACAAACGTGGGAGCAGAGGCAAGGCCATCTTTGGGCTGCTGTGTGCTCTGAGGAGCAGAGCACATCGACCGCAGAGACAAAAGAATGAACTGCCGTGCGCACAGACAGACGCACGGACCCCAGAGGTCAAAGAGAGCATGAGCTCACCTTTCAATCCCTAGTTCTGCTTCCTCCTCGCTGGGATCTGTTTCTACCCAATATTCCTCAGAAACCTTAAACTGACGTTCTGCTTCCTTGGGCCCCAAGCTTGCTCAGGTGGACACCAGATCCTTGTGACTCAAAGTCCTAACTTACAGACTTTGACCTCACTCTGCCCCGACTGCAGTCTTATTATTAGTTTGCTATAGAGACGGTCTAAATTAATTTCTAATTCTCCTAAAATAAGAATATGATTTCTTAAATAAAACAGTCTAGTAATTTGCAAGATGATGACATAAGAAGAGACTGTAAAGAGCAATAGCTGGTTAGCAGCATAATTCTTAAAAAGACAACAGTAAAACACCATCTTACTTCCAGATTCTCTTTTTTATAGACTTCAATAGCTTTCTCTTCAGATAATCCGCAGCAACCATATTCCAGAGGGGTAAACACCGTGGTTGGAACATTAATATAATCACACTGAAAGATAAGAAAATACAATTTTTCTTATTTTGTGACACCTTTTTCAGCAAAAATCCCTAATACAAATATTTATTTTAAAAAGCAAAAGCAAATCAGTACAGTTCACTTACAGTATCACCAATTTTTTTTTCTTTTTTAAATCAGGGTCTCACTTTGTAGCTCTAACTGACCTTGAACTCACAGCGATCCCCCTGCCTCAGGCTCCCAAGTCCTGGGATTACAGGTATGCGCCACCACACCCGGCTCAGCATCACTAATCTCTGGACATTTTCGGTTAAACTAACAGAGACCAATGCCCCTTACTCAAGGCTAGGGCCAGGTGCTGGCCAGCTACCCAAGACCAGACTTCAAAGGCTGAAATCCTGGAGGTAGGGGCGAGGTGCAATTGCTGCACTGCCCTGAAGAATCTCCCCAGAACATTTCTTTCCATCCTGCTGGTCTGGACTCCGCCCTTCTGGAGTACTTCCAGTTGACTTTGAGTTCCGCCATGTCACTGGGAGCTGAGCCCACCCTGGCCACTCACACTCCTGTGCCACTGAGAACAGGGAGGCCACCAGGCACGTGGCTCGGTGGTGAGGCTGAGTTCTGTTCCTTGCCCACGAGGGGACATGGCTCGTGGGTGTGAGGTGCAGAGATACCACAAGCCCAGTGCATGTTAAGACACCAGCCCGCATCGGATAGCATCAGGGCAGAACGGACACTGCACAAAAGACTGGCTCTGCAGTTCACGAGGCCCTGCCTGTAGGAGAGTGAGTGGGACCGCAGGTGGCCTGGAGGAGGGGCCAACCTGGGAGACGGGGGCGTCCGGATTCTGGAGCAGGGCTGGACCACTCTGGTGGTGACACCATGAGGGGTGAAGGGCCTGCCTGCCACAGCCCTTCAAAGGACAACAGTGCTCCTGGAACTGTGTGCCCACCCCACTCCTGCTGACAGGGAATGGATCTGCCCAACGCTACAGACTCGCTGGGCCTGGTGAGCTACGCGAGTCTGCCTGTGACTCCTGTGACGCTCAGGACGAACTCCCGCAAGCTGCCAGGTCTGTTACCCCAAAGAGAAACTAAACACTACCAGGTAGTCCTAAATCAAGGCGGGGATTTGTGCAGCACACAGAGCAGCTTCCCCATCAGTCTGGCTCCACTAACTCATGCACCCTCATCCCACGCTGCCCTGGCCCACCTGTCCAACATGGCTATAGTGGTTTGAGTAAAAAATGTTAGCCCAAGGCCTGCGCATGGAAGCCAGTGGCACTTCCGGGGTGTGGACCTTTTAGCAGCGGGGTCTGTAGAAAGTTAGGTCACCAGGGCCAAGGCCTTGAAGGGGACCCTGGGACTAGGGCCCTTTGTCTCTTGTCACTCCCTGGACCTCCAGGAGGTGAGCGGCTTTGCTCCCCCACCCCGCATGGCCACCGCACCATGCTGCCCCTCTCCACGGGCCCATGGAGCCAGGGACTGAAACCAGAAATCAAAACAAGCTTTTTGGTCTTCTAAGTTGCTGATCTCAAATCTTTTGGCACAGGGAGGCAAGGCTGACAAATGCAGTGGCTGAGAAAGTTGCACCAGCATTTGACTCATCTTGGGCTTGTGTTCCTCGCCCACCCACTGCCTGACTGGCTGCAAAGCCCACGTCCCATGGCTTAGAGTGGAGGCCTCCTCCTCCCATCCTGTGTCAATGAACAAAAACCAGTGAAAAATTGCGCAACTTTCACCTTTCTCCCAAAACACTTTCTCTGCATCTTAGACTATCTCCTCCACTTCAAAACGCCTGCCGTGGGTGGGCAGCTCCTCCTGTGGGGGCACAACCAGCACTCCTCACGCTCCCACAAATGCCGGCGGGGCCCTCTCAGGTGCTCCCCATCTGTCAGCTCCCTGGTGTCCTAGCACCCCTGAAGCAGCAGCGCCTTGGGGGTCCCTTCTGAGACGGTGTTCACTCCTCAGCACAAGCCGGCACTCCGCACCTCCATGCTGTGACCCAAGTCACCTGCCTACCAGGGAGTCCTCTGCTTTCTCACCTCTGAGGAACTCAGCCACACAGCCCATCTCGAGCACTGGTCCAGGAACATGCGAAGTGTTAAAGCATCCAGGTCATAGTGCCGGCTCGGTGATGATGACACCCAAGCCTCGAAAGGCCACTGGCTGCCAAGCGCACACACCAAGCAGGTGTCAGGGCCGGGCCTGCAAGCTGACCGTGCTGAGCACACCTTCCCAGTCACACGCAACCATCCACTTTTCCGTCCTTTCAGTTAGGAGCCAATGGCCCTTTCCCTGGCCCTACAGCACCCGGCTGACAGCACTCTCCAGCACAGAATCACGTTCCGTCTTCTCATCCTCTGTGCCGTCAGACTCGGGGCTCCCACCCACCTGGGAGGCCCAGGGGCTGCAGCCACGGGATTTTTCAATCACCCAATACAACTTCTTGGCCACAGTAGAAGCCCAAAAATATTTGCTTGCAACAATGAATAAATAGCAAGTCAACTGCAAATTACACCTCTGAGGAATCCTTTACTTGAAAAACAAGAACATAGTGTAATTTGTACTGATTTTTTTTATATCATAATTTTGATCAAGATATTATCATCTCAGGGCTCAGAGTGTAGCTCATTGATACAGTGCCTGCTTAGCAGAGATGAGGCCTGGGGTTTAATCCTCAACACACACACGCACAAGCACACACACATGCACACACACATATGCGTGCATGGGTAAAAAGGCATGGCAACAATATCAAGAGACTTACCTTCTCTACAGAGGCCCCAAAGAGTCGGCGAGCTAGCAGCTTGCCTGCCTGTATGGCGACAGGAGTGAGCTCTGGCTTCCCCTCCAAAATGTCCCCAATAGCATAGATGTGGGGGACATTGGTCTGCTCCGCATCATTGACTGGTATTTTGCCACTCCTAGTAGGGTGGAAAAGGAAAAAGATAAAATATGACCGACTCATACTGCTGCTGAACACTATTCCAAAAGACAAAAGGCCTTTGTCTAAAGAACTCCTGTACCGCGGGTTATCACTGATCCATAAAATCATTGCTTAAGACATCTAGGCTTTCTGCAGCTCCAAGGGAAAGCCTCTCTCTGGCAGAGCCATGCACACTTCTTGGGTGCCCAGGATTAACCTGATTTCCCCCACAATCACCTTGCAGCTTTGGAATTTTCTCCTTGCCTGACCTGAGACACAAATATTCATACATGGTAAGTGGATACCCTTCCACAACTACTTTTTTTTAAAAATCTGTGGAAAGTATGATTCTTTAAGGCACACAGTAAGAGTTACTGATTGACCGACTGATTGACTGCAGAGTTGGCACAGAATTTATTGTAAGATTGACTGAGGGCACTAAAATGTTGTATCTTCATAATGAAGTGAGAACTTCTAAGAGCTGACTTGTGGAAAAACCCCGCTTGGTGGGCCACACATACCAACCTCTCATTGACGCTGACACCAATCTTCTCCAAGCCTAATTTCTTTGTACAGGAGTCTCGACCAATTGCTAACAAAACCTGTTTTATCGAGAGAGAAAAATGCAAATTACTCACCTCAGGAGCAAAACAGGGGGCATCGCCACAGATCTTTCAGACGTTGAAAGGATGACAATTAAATTCTACAGGCAAACTATGCCAGTAAGTTTGACAGTGTAGGTGAAAGAGTCTTTACCAATCTATTGGTACAGCTTACAAGTCTATTCGGACACAAAGGTCTGAATAAGTCTATGTTAGGTGTTGATCTGCCCCTCAAAATCTATTATGTTGAAGCTCTAACCCACAGTGTCTCAGGCTGTGACAGGATTTGGGGACAGGGGCTATGAAGTATAAGGCAGAATTACGGTCGGATGAGGTCACCATGGTTTGGAAAGTGTCCCTTGAAAGGTCTTCTGCGGCAGGCCCCGTCCCAGCAGTGGTGCTATGGAAGGTGGCGGAGGCTCTGAGCAGTGGGGCCCACGGGCTGCCTCCAGGGACACTGTAGGGCTCTGGTCTTCCCCTCCTGTCTTTCATTTTCCAGCTGCCATGAGTTGAGCAGCATCTTCTGCCATGACTGCTGCCTTACCACAGACCCAAGAGCAACTGGGCCAAGGGACTATGTATGAACCCTCCAAGACTGTGAGCCAAGACAGCCTGCTCCCTTCTGAAGACCATTCCCTCGCTTTTCCATTATAGAGATGGAAAACCGATGAGCACGGTTCTCACCCGGTGTGAGTAACGTCCTCCTGAGGAGAGACGAGGCCACAGCCGACACTCAGGCAGAGCCACCGTGAAGGGACACATGAAGGCAGCTGTCTGTAAGCCAAGGACAGTATCAGTCTGTGGCCACGTGGCTCATTGCTTTGTCCGGTCGGGCCACGGTACCTCAGGGGGGCACAGTGAGGGAGGCCTGTTTACCTCACAGCAGCCGGGAAGCAAAAAGAGAGAAGTGGGAATGGTCCCGGGTCCCAAAATCCCTTTCAGGGGAACACCTACCTTCCACCCATTAGGCCTCACAGACTAGATGAGTTCTGCCACCTCCCCAGCTGGGGACCAACCTGTTCATACACAGGCTTTGGGGGGACATTTAATGTCGAGGACCACCTAGACAACTCTCCTTAAAGGAAGAGCAGGTATCTCCATTTTGGCTAAACCTGGCCCTACTTCCGCGATTGCTGTGTGCACAGCTGGTTACGTTTTGTCCTTATCCCCTCAACTGACTTTCAGCAATGCAAAAGGGTCTAGCAAGGTGCTGATGTGTAGTCTTTGAAGCAAGGGTGTTGCTCTGCCCCGTAGCTCCCAAGAAGCATGTGTGACCTGGGTGGGCGGGAGAGCCATGCTCCACTCCACGCTGTCCACTGGGAACGAGCCTCGAGACAGAGGCTTTGACTTCTCAGGGCATAAAAAATTACACATCAGAGCTGAAGCACTGACCCCAAAACATTAGGTATTACCTCGAACTGTGTCATGCAAATGAATCTTTCTGCATATCCTTCCTGCATATGGCAGGGGGGATCTCAGGCCTCCTACCTAGTCCAGCTCATGGCACGCACCTGCTTCCCGCCATTCTCACAGTCACTCATCCTCGAGCCTCTCCCTTTTTCATGAAGTAATAAAACCTGGATTCGGTTCTGGGTTGAGTTAGCCATCACCCTAGCTGGACTTAGGACCCCTTGGCTCCCCACAACTACAAATACTTCTTAGTGTCTTTATTCTTGCCATATGTTGCACTGAAAGTGGCAGATTGGAATTAACTCATTTTGATTCCAATAACTTTTCCATGGGATTACAAATATAAACTTCCTAGACCTCGACAAGGACCAGGAAGGTCTCTCAATAATTTAACACCTAAACCTTAGCATAGCCCTAGCAACCTACACAGCCTTTATCCATTAATGAAACTGATTTCGTAATTTATAAACTCCCATTATGAACTCCAGGCCCAGACGGCTTCTCTGAAGTGAAAGAAGCTCCCGATGCTCAGGACCGTGTAGATGAATCCTAAAAGCATCAACCTGAACAGAAGAAGCCAGGCACAGACTGTCCAATTCTGTGTTTGCAAGCACGAGGACAGGCAAAACCAGTCTGTGGTGGCAGAATCAGAACGGGGTGCTCCGGGCCGGAGACTGGGAGGGGGCAAACGAGAGCCCTGCGCTGCTGCCCCTAAGGGAGTGTGGCCTGGCGAAGGTGTGTTTGTCAGGACCCCCTGAGCCCTACGTGTGAGATTGATGCTCTCAGTACTTAGCAATTATTCCTCCTTGCAAAAATAAATAATTTGAGAAGTTAGTTATTACGAACTTTATAGTGATATATTTGAAAACAGGTGAAATGGACTAAATCCTAGAAAAATATATTCATCAAAAATAACACAAGAAAAAAATAGAAAACCTGAAAGCTCCTTTGATCATGAGAAGCTGAATCATTGCTCAAATACATCTCCACAGAAAATTCTAGGCCTATATGGTTATGTCAGTCAATTCTAACAATCCAAAAAACGAACTATAATATCGCATAGACATGCAGAGAATAGGACAGAAGAAACATAATCCCCACTTTTATGAGCGAGAACCACCTTGCTACTTATTCCTGAAGAGTTGAGTGTGTGGAAGGGTAACCAAGTTGGGTTTATGTCAGGGATACAAAGTTGACCAAACATTAGAAAGTCAGCAAGATTTAATACATTGGTATAGTAAATAAAAAATGGTCATCAATAGCAGTAAAAGAAACACTGTTATAATTGCATATCCATTCATAATTTTAAAAGAAATGAAACAAAATAAACACAAAATCACTTAGCCAACAAATATTAGAAGAGAATTTCCCTAACTGGCCATCCACCAAAACCCTCGAGAAAGCATTACTCTTTCATAATGAAAACACTGTAAACGTCCTCTCTGACACTGAGAACAAGGCAGGATTGCTTATTATTGCCATTGTTTCTCAACACTGCACAGGAGGTCCTGGTTTAGGCAAGGAAAAGGAGAATTACAGCAGAAAGGAGGAACAGGGCTGTTAGTATCTGCAGATAATATGAATGTGCAGAAGGAATCCAAAATAATCTATAGATAAATGATTACATAAGAGGTTAGCAAACTACTAAATACTAAAGCAAAGCACAGAAATCAGCTTTTCTACACACCAGCAACAGTTAAAGACAGTATTTTTTTTTTAAAAAAAACCATTTATAACTATCTGTAAATACAAGAGCAACCGGGAGTAAGTTTAATGAAAGATGTCTCTTCATCTCTACCGAGCAGTAACTATTAACTTTGTTGGATGCGTGAGTAAAGAAGACCTATGAGCAGATACAGAACGGAGGACTGGATACTGGGAAGTCTGCAATTTCCAACCAATCTAGCCATCGTTGTAATCCTAATCAAAATCTCACAGGGTTTTTTTTTTTTTTTTTTGTAACATATTTGTGATCCTCTATATTACATTTATTCTTTTTTAAGTAAAAAATTATGTGGATAAAGAGCACATAAAAATAAATGCATAGTTTCTGTCAAAACGGTAATTACAAAAGAATTGCTGGTATCTAAATTATTCCACAGTCTATTCACAGTGTTTGAAGATGTTTGTATTGCTTTTTTCAAAAGACAACAGCTGTAGCTCGGTGCAGTGGTGCATGCCCAAGGTCCCGGCAGCTCTGGAAGCTGATGTGGAGGAACACAGGTTCAAGGCCAGCCTGGGTGGCAGAATGAGCCCCGTCTCAAGATAAAAAAGGCTTGAGTATAGCTCAGAGGGAAGAGTCCTGCCCTTGTGTGAGCGAGACCCTGCCTTCAATCCCCAACACCAAAAAATAAATGTATTGTTTTTTAAATTATAAAACATATTCAGTACTTACTGCAAAACCTTTCAAATGGATGGATGTATAAAACATCCAATTCTGCAGAAGCTGGCAGCAGTAACACTTGGATGCATGCGCTTCTGGAGTTTATTCTATGTGTAGTTACACAGACAGTACGTGCACACTACCACGGTAGTCCTCAGGGATCACTGAAAACCCAGTGTCAGCACTCAGCCCCTATGTGTGTTTAACACACTCTTATAAAGTATCGAAACCATCCTCCCCCGTTTTTTCTGTAAGTTTAGTCTCTGTCCACTCGGGAGTATGTCCCGCCACTTACTGCTCATAAGGTAAGTACTTACTGTGTTGTAAACATCTTCAATTGTTTCTGCTCCCTCCGTGGATTTAGCTGATACTTTCAGCTTCCCGGGCGAACCTTTTTCCAACTGCTGAATCTAATAAGGATAAAAATAATGCAATTGCTTCATCTGATATGACGAAAAACAAATGGACCAATGACCAAAGGGTGCACACATGTGTGGGTGAATACGTGTGTGTGTGTGTGTGTGTGTGTGTGTGTGTGTGTGAGCACACAGAGGCATTGAGGACTTTGGACTTGGCAGAGAGGAAAAGAAAACTGTCCCACACTAGGATGTGGAGGCAGAAATGAATGAAGATTGGCTGAATGAAAGGAGAAGGAAGGGAGGCTTCCTAGGTGTTGCCTTAACGCCTTGTAGACAGTGCCATCCTTGAGCACTGGGGGAGGACAGAAAGGTTAGCTGGGGAACACACCCTGTAGAAAATACACTTTCGTCTTTGGCGTGTTACATTTGAAATGTTCAGGAGGGACTGAAGCGGCGAGGGCCAGCCAGTAAGCAGTGGTTAGGAACGAGTGTGGAATCCAGGAGAGATGTCTGAGCAGGAGCTGTGGATCTGAGCACAAGTGTCTGCCCCTGCGGCGAGGCCCGGGACATACAGGGCAGAGACTGGATTTCCTGAACTGCAGCTTCCAGAGCGGGGAGAGATGGGAGGCAGTTGAGGGTCTGGAAGCATGAAGTGGAGCAAGAAAGTGGGAGAAGCGTGTAGAGACAATTTGTTTTTGTAAAGGGCAAACGAAAAATGTGGACCTGGTGAGAAGCGAACAGTGGAATTACTTAAGATTGAGATGTTCCGCTGAGAAAAGGGATGAGACCACAGCGGGGGTTGGACTGTCCTTGAAAAAGTGAGGAAAGGTCAGAGGAAAAGAACAAGGACACCTCCAGTGTCAGAGGCAGGAAAAAGGAGGCAGGTTCTGTAGATTGGGGTGGGTAGGGACCTTTAACACTGAGTACAAACTAGTTTACCTAATGCAATGAGGCAAGGAGGGCAAAATTAGCAATTTAAGAGTAAGAAAAAAAAAAAAAAGGAATTCCAAACGCCACTCAGACTTACCGTCACAGGCACAAATTTTCTTAAGAACTTGACGCCGTGCTGTTCCATGTAGGAACCCACTTTCTCTGCCATCTCTTGATCGAAGCCGCGAAGGAGGACAGAGCGCACCATCACTGTGACATCTAAGCCAAAGCCCGCAAGAAACCCTGCGCATTCCAGAGCCACGTAAGATGCACCCACTACTAATGTTTTCCCGGGGCAGTACGGCAGGGAAAAAAGATCGTCGCTGAAAAACAAAAAAGAACACCAGCTTGCGCAGGCAACGAAAGTGAAGTGAGTCGTCTAGGTTCCGTTGTACAGCGCTCTCTTGTTGGCAGAACTGCAGTTTGTTTGGCAAGTGAAGAAACACTAGAAGCAGCCCCCTTGTGAGTTTGTGTTGAGGCTACAGTGGACAGAATGTGCAGCAGGAGGTACGCCTTCTATGCGGTCAACTTAGAGCACAAGGAGTTTGTGTAAGTAGAGGGGAAAAACTGGACTACCTTGAGAAAAGCAGCCGTGAGGTGTGTGGATGTGGTGCATGTGGATGCATGTTCTCCCGAACAGCAGTGCGGGGAAGGACACACCGTGTTACCGTGCGCCTGCTCCGCAAGCCCGCAGGTCACTGTGCGTGACTGTGCGGTGTCTCGGACTATCCCGGTAAAGTTCCCGGAACACCTCGGTACTGAAGGGAGCTATGCCGCTCTGACCACCTGGTCTACCTCCATCCTTGCCGCTTAATCTTAAAGCTAATGGTTTTTACTTCTTCTCCTTGACCTCCATCCATGTTATTCCAGAAACTATCTGGAAACAGAGCATATTTTTGTGCATAAATTTTACCCCTCACATGATTTACTTCATTTCACTCCCTCTGTGTTATTACTTGAACTTTGTCACTTCCTGCGTTGTACTTTTTTTTTTTGGTACCAGGAATCTAACTCAGGACCTTGCGCTTGCCAGGCAGAGCTTTGTCCCCAGCCCCTTGCGTTGTACCTTTATTTGTCATCAGTTCAGATTTTCTGTACAATAAGCAAGGAATAAAATAAAGGGAAACATAAACATAATCCATTGATTAAAGCTGAAACACTCTCTTTACTCTTACCTGGTAATACAGTATTCTTTATCTCCTTGGATTCCTAAGTACCGTGGCCTTTCACCTGTTGCTATGACAAATTTTGCAGCAGTGTAAAAAGTTTCCTGTCCTTTTCTAGTGGTGGCCTTGAAAAAAAGAACAGAAAACTTCCCTTATTCAGCGAACGCACAAGCATCAGACACCCTGGAAAATAGTTACCACCCTTTCAGGGCTTCTCATTTAATACCAATAATGTGTGCAAAACTTATCGAGCAATAAGATAAACACACCACAGCTGGGAGTGGTGATTACACCTGCAATCCTAGCACTTGGGAAGCTGAGGCAGGAAGATCACTGAGAGTTTGAGGCCAGCCTGGGCTATAAAGTGAGTTCAAGGCCAGCCTAAACTACACAGTGAAACCCTGTCTCAAAAAGATAAAAAAAAAATATATAAAAACATGCCCACAGAAAATAGAGTCCTTTACCAAATGGTAGCCAATGCACCACAGTAGGGCAGGGGCAGCAGGCTAGAGAGCCAGTCAAAGATGGCTTCGCAGAAGGCATGGAGTTGAGGGAAGGAAGGTGATGGGGAAGAACGGAGCCCCGGACAAGACAGCATTGCACACATGCGCCCGCAAGGAGCCGGGTCATGGGGAGCAGGAGGCCAGAAGTGACTAGAGAGCAGCACTGTGCCGTCAAGGTGAGGAAACAGCCTAGGCCGGAGGTGAGGCCTCCCCACGCCAAGTTAGAAATTCAGACTGTGGAGCTGTGGGGAAGCGACAGCGACTGCTGATGCTTTGTAACTGGATGAATAATTCAAAATACATTTTCACGTAAATCACTCAAATACCAATGAAGGTGTCCAAAGAAGTAGATCGGTGGGGTAGAGGGCGGGCAGCCTGGAGAAGGGGCTGCTCAGGAGGCCCCGGAGCAGAGAAGTCAGCACAGGCTGGGGCAGGGAGAACCAGGGTCCAGCCTGAGCAACTGGACAGACGCGGGCATCACAGATGAGGCAGGGCGGGTGGGGTGTGATTGGCGGGTGGGGTGTGATTGTGCCAGGCGTGTTATAGTCTGAGGGAGAAGACTAGCTCGCATTTCCACAGTGACTCAGGGAGTGATGTTACTCAAAGTGGCCCATGTGCGGCTTTAAAGGGCAGCCTCTATGGACTCCTCACCTCGTCCTCAGCTGAGGAAACGCTGACCACAGAATCACCTAAGACCTTGTCCAGATCATCTCACATGGTATCACTGAAGTAGGAAATAAAGTTTCTGCAGTTCAGGCTAGCCTTGAGCTGACTTTGTAGCCCAGGCTGGCCTCGAACTCCCAACGATCCTCCTGCCTCAGCCTCTTGAGGGCTGGGATTACAGGTGTGCACCACCATGCCCGACTTATAACACCAATTTTAAAAATGTTATCATTATCAAATGATCTCATTTTCCTTAGGTATTGATCTCATAATGTATAAACATTATAAATATAAATATAAATGCACTGATTCTGGCATTGCTTTTACCAAAGAGTAACAATTTGTATTGAAGTTTTAGTAAAATCTCACTTTTTGAATTTTGAATAAAACTTTGAATCATTTTAGTCTTTTGAACACTGAACCATTTAGTTTAAACATTTTTCTCTTTTAAAATGGAAGTAAGATCAAAGGCAGACAACTTTAAGAATTCTTTAAAATGCAATGTCTTCAATTTAGCCGTCATGTATAATCAACAAACTGAGGGCAAACACACGTCTGTATAGTCATACGCACTGGGTGCACACATGCATACACACGCCAGCTATTGCCAATATGGAATTGTAGTTCCATGCAAATAAAAACCGTAGTCAGGAGGGGTAATGACCAAGACATGAAACACAGACAGTACCTTTATTTTATGCTGCCCCATGAATTCTCCGTAGGAATTGACATAGGCCACCCCTTTCTCTCGCAAGGACACCCTGTAGCCCCAGTTCAGAGAGCCGATGTGGTTCTGAATCGCTTCTGTCATGGACTCCCAGTTGTGCTTCACTGAACAGAAATAACCGGGGTGAAGGCGTGGAGTGAGCGCTACTTGTGGTGACAAGTTACACACAGCCACAGAACCACACACAAGCCCCCCTACCTGCTGCTTTGAAAACCAAAGCATGCTCGGGCTGGGAGGCGCATGTCTATAACCCCAGAACTCTGGAAGGCTGTGGGAGGAGAACTGCAAGTTTGAGCCCAGCCTGGGCAACCTACTGACTGAGTGAGACCCTGTCTCAAAACAGAAATGTTTTTTATTTTTTTGGTACCAGGAATCGAACTCAGGACCTCATGCTTCCCAGGCAGGAACTGTGCCACTGAGCTAAATCCCCAGCCCCAGAAATGTTTTTAGAAAGGGCTAAGGATGCAGCTCGAGTGGGAAGGCCCTCAGTTCAAGCCTGAGGACCAAAAAAGAAAAAAATTACTTCCATCTTACTTTTCAGCTGGTGATGCCGCTGGGTAAGAAATGTCTTAATTTGTCTTTTATTTTTTTTTAAATTTTTTTATTTTTTTAATTTGTCTTTTAAAAGCAATGAACTTTCTGGGCGTGGTGGCGCACATCTGTAATCCCAGCACTCGGGAGGCTGAGGCAGGAGGATCGTTGCAAGTTCGAGACCAACTTGGGCTACAAAGTGAGCTCAAGGCCAGCCTGAACTGTACAGCAAGACCCTGTCTCAAAAAGACAACAACAACAAAAGCAATGAACTTAGCCCAACTCATGAATTCTATTTCTTGTTTAATCTCTTGTGTCCTCTAGGCACACTGGCTATAACTGGGGACAGTTTTTCAGACAGGTGCACCTGTCTCCCTGTGTATCCCCTGTGGACTCTGCTTTGGTGCAAGGCTGGCCACCTGAGTCGCTCTTAACACCAAGACCCCGCGCTCTTCCTAAACACGGGCTTTGGTTTTTCCCCATCACATCACCAGCACGCTTGCGTGGGAGATGTGGGAGATGCTCACCTGTCCCTCTGAGAACCCAGCCCCTGGGACCCCTCAGCCACCCACGCTCCTCTAGGACACCGCTGTAGAGGAGAGGTGACAGCGTGCTAGAGTTCTGGGACCTCCAGGGACAGTTTTCGGTTTTCAGACTACGTATCACTTCAGCCTAAAAAAGTAAAAAGGTAAACTTTTCATTTTTCTAAGTTCCGCAGCAGTTTAAATGACATCGGAAGAGTCTATTCCTTGAAGACTTGAGAAAATGGATTTGTAAAGCTCTGGTTGTCTTTTGGGACCCGAGGTGCTCAGATTCATTTCCTTTGATAATTTAAGTCACTCAAATCGTTCCTATTTTCCTAGAAGATATTTCTGTTCCTTGAGACACTTAAAATGATCAGCACTACCTTGTACAGCCACATTCAATGCTTTCACGTCTTCCCTGTCTGTAGTGCTATTTCTTTTCCCCCACCAATGTTGTTACACATGTGTCTGAGTTCTTGCTCCTGGACTCCTTGATTGGATCTGCAAGATCTGCCCATTTTATTTTATTTTCCAACACCACACTTTTTTTTTCAGACAGTGCCTTATTATGTAGCTCTGGCTGGTCTTGAACTCACTTTGTAGTCCAGGCTGGGCTCGAAATTGTGATGATCCTCCTGCCCTAGTCTTCCAAGGGCTGGGGTTACAGGCGTGCGCCACCACGCCTGGCTCACACACCCTACTCTACATTTTGTTTATCAATTCTGTTTGCACGAGGTGGGGACAGGGTTGCTTGTCAGTCTCTGGGTTTGTTGTTTGCTTGCCTTTGCTTACATTCTGCTTTTCTGGTGTTAACTGCTATTCCTTATATTTGAATTTCCTCAATATAGCTTCTCCCATCTATTCGAAACTTTCTCATACATTTAAATGAATAAACAGGAAATCTTTTAATCATCAACTAAAAATTTTATATTTTCAACACTGATCTCTCTGGATGTTAAGTATTTGTGTATAAACAACACAGGAAAGAATTTTGCTGTTAGTGAACCTGAGACTCTGACCCACTTCACTTTATGCTAATACAATTTTATTCCTGGAAATCATATGGCTGCTCTCACCGTCCGCTGCTATTGTGTTTACCGGGAATTACAATTTCATGCTGCTTCTCTCCTTAATTTTGCTTTGCTACCTATTCTCTGGGCATTTTCCCCTTTCCTTTTACCCTCCTATTGGAGGTTCTACACTCCACTTCTAATCCAGAAATTATCTATGCATTTTAAACCTATTTTAAACTATAGTGCTCTACCAAGAGTGGAAATATCTAAAACATTCTGCTGGAGTGAGACTTCAGCATGAATCACTTCCTTTCTCTCACCTCCCAGATTCTGCTCACTTCTGATCATTTACTGAGCCAATGCCTCACAACTGTAATGCTCCGAACTCCAAGTGAGAGATGGTCATTCCTTCCTCCTTCCTCCTCCTCCTTCTGCGCTTGGATGGTGCTGAGGATCGAACCCAGAGCCTTGCTTGTGCTAAGCAAGCACTCTACAGCTGAGCTACCTGCCCCAGCCCCAGGCTGATTTTTTTTTTCCTTGGTACTGGGAATTGAACTCAGGACCTTGCACTTGCCAGGCAGGTGCTTGTGCCACTGAGCTATATCCCCAGCCCTAGTATTTTGAAGCCTTTTAGAAGCTGACTGACTTAGAAGCATCTGATATGTAGGGAACTTTGAGAAACCTAAACTTTGGCTCACTTGACAAAATCACATTCCTCAAAGTTCCCCATCTATAAATGCTTTCTGAGTCAACTCTGGGGTGCTGTGCTAAGTAGAAAATGGAGCAAGCACTTGGCAGAGGTAGGAACACTGGCTGAGGCCTCTGCAGTGAGGGTGCACAGGTCCTGGCTGTCCCCTCTCTGGAAGGCAGTCACACGGTCGAGATGCGACGGCAGACAGCAAACAAACCCCAGAGCCCCTGCCAGCCTGGACCGAGTTGACGGCCTCTGCCTGCTCCACGGGCCTCCACGCCAGACAAGGAGCCACGCGCTGCCCGGCTCAGCCTTTCAGCCACGGGGACTTCAAGGTTCCTGCCACGCTGGCTTTGGATGTGCTCTGTCCCTATTAGATCCCAGGGGAAAGCTGGCTGCCTTGGTGACAGTGGCTGGGTCACCACAGGTGTCTGCGCCTTTCTCCTGGGAGTAAGTTCCGACTTGGTGGGGCAGAGGCCACCTCTGAGCGTGGCTTCTTCCCTGCATGCCCATTTGCCTGCCCCAGGGGCCAGAAGGATGCCAGGGTGCATTCTTGGACTTCCTCTTTTCTTTATAAACTACCCAGTCTCAGTATTCTGTTACAGCAACAGAAAATGGACTAAGAAATGCTACTTGGTGTCAATTATTTGAGAAACAGTATAGAAACGCTTGTATTTAAAAAAAAAAATAATATACTCTTTAGGGAGGCTAAGGCAGGGGGATTAAAAGTTTGAGGCCAGCCTCGGCAAATTTTGTGAGACCCTGTCTCTAAACCAGAATTTACAAAAGGCTTGTGGATATAGCTCTGTGCTCATAGGTTCAAAGCCCAGTACTACAAAGCAAGAAAGGAAGGAAGGAAGGAAGACTCCTTAGTTACCTGCTGAATCGAAATGCCCATCATCCAAACTCTACTCCCTTCAGTAGGAGTTCTGCGGCACTGGCTCGAGTTGGCTCCCTCTTTAGACTCCTAACGCCCTAAATCTTACCCTGAAAAAACCGACTCCCTTCAGCTTTGGTGACAGCCCTCCCGGTTTCTTCCTCTTCCTGACCCACTTATCTCGGGTATTAAAAAAACTTACCATTTTGTCTCTTTTCTGTTTATTAGTTCACATTCACAGTACTTAGTGATCACATGCATCGTGGGGAATTTGTAGGTGTGCATAACCCCTTTGTTCTTTTTGTCCCCTTCCCTTCCCCTTCCTCCAAGCCTTCCTCCCCTCCCCACCTGCGGAACCTCTGTTTCCAGATCTTGCAGACCCTACCCGTCCTCCATGTGACTCGAGAGCGGCTCCACTGTAGACCTGGTGAGGCCTCTGTCGCCTCTCACCCCCGACACTGCCGCCCTTCCCATCCCGAGGGCTGCGGTGCCACTGCAGGATCCAGAGCCCGACCTGTAGCTCACGCTCCTCTCCTGCTTTGACTCAACAGCTCTGTCACCTCTGGAGTGAACTTAAACTTAGAAGGGGGTACCAGCACCTTGCCGACCTCCTCTCTCCTGACACCTTTCCTCTCCCCATCCACTTGCTGCCCCCAGCCCACCCTGTCTTCTGACATCTGCACAGCATGGTCCTCAGTGTCCTCTTTCTCTGTGGCCTTCAAACTCAAGGGCCACCCCGTCCCCACCCTCAAGGCTGTACTAGGTGCCCCTCAAGTCAATGCCATAGAGCAGCATGAATTACACTGCACTGAACGAGCTTCCTTGTGTCTCCAGGACAGAGCTGTGCACCCTCAGAGCCCCGCCAAGAAATGCTTAGTGCTGAATTTGTTTTCCACTTCCCATTAACCAAAGAGATACAAAACCACTGGCACAGGGAAAATGTTATCACGGTAGTGGATAAAATTCACACAGTGACCCTCGCTACTCGATTTTCTCCACAAGGGAAAAAAACCTGAAAAGAACCATCACTGTCTCCCACATTGCTAGGGACTGAGAACACCCCATCTGGACATGGGCTCACGACAGCAGGGCCATCTCTGTGGCACCTGGACCTGCTGGGCACACAGGGCTCCTACCAAATATCTGGCTCTGCTGTAAAACATGACTGGCAAATCTCAATCTAAGGATGTCGCTTCCTCTGTTCCCTGCCGGTGTCTCCACTCACCTTGCTGACTGTACTCCCAGCCAAACTTCCGGGAGTCGAGCAAGGCCTGCCCCAGGAGGGCAGCCTGATGCATCAGCTTCTTAGGGATGCAGCCCACGTTCACGCAGGTACCGCCAAGGCCTGAGGAGCACGGGACAGTTGAGGGTTTCCTGTGTGCCATAGTGTGACTCCACACCTCGCAGTGTCACTAGAACGCATGAGTGCGACAAGCTCAATGGTAAAGGGGATGCCCCACCCCAAAATAAGACACAAGTGATTCAGACTTTCCAAATAACCTGGAGTCTGTGGAGGAGCCCAACCTCCGGCACAAATATGCGTGTGCACGTGGGGAGTGTGGCATCCGTCCCCATTGCAGTGTGTGGCTGGATTAGACTTCTGAGCAGTACCCAAGGGTCAGGAGCTCAGCTTCTGGGCAACGCTGGCCCCTGAGCCAGCTGGGTTCCCTGCAAGCTGCCTGGGAGCATCTACTCTGGAGCTCAGCAACCCGAACTGATTGTGTCGAGCGCCCCCTGCAGGGCAGGAGCAGGCTTCCCTCTGGCTGCCAGTTCTGCTCTGCCAGGTGCTAGTAGGGTGTCCGGACAGTAAAGGGGGACAGCAAGAGAGAAAGGGAACAGGGCAGGAAGAGCGGCACACAAGGATACAGATGCTCCAAGACTATCAGAGGAAACACCATGTTAGACTGTTTTACCACATGAGATTCTAGGCTAAAACTTTTTGAGATAACATGGGTTTTTAAAAATGATTTTGAGCCAGGGAGATAGCTCAGTGACCTAGCACCTGCCTGGCAAGCGCAAAGTCATGAGTTCAATACCTGGTACAAAGAAAAAAAAAAAAAAAGATTTTGAGCTGGGCATGGTGGCGCACACCTATAATTCCAGCACACAGGAGGCTGAGGCAGGAGGACTGCTGTGAGTTTGTGCCCAGCCTGGACTACAGAGTGAGCTCAAGGCCAGCCTGAACTACATAGCGAAACCCTGTCTAAAAACAGTAACAACAACAAAAGAATTTGATATTTTCTTCACCAGGGTCCGGCAGAAAAGAGAAACCACACTCAGGCTGGGTAACTGAAGAGGGTTCATGGAGAAATTATTGCAAGGTATAGGCAGAAAGGGACTGAACAGTCCCCCCAAGCCAGTGACAGCAGGGGCCACTGGGAGCCCATGGGCAGGGACAATAAGGCCGAGTGTCCTGACCCAGAGGAGCCTGTGACACATTTGCCTTCCAGAGGGGCAGGAAGTGACCCGACAGAGCGGGAGCCAGGAGAATAAGGACGCAGCTCCCCGCTCCTCCCCTCCAATACTCAGACTGGCCGAGCCCACCAGAAACCAGAGGGCAGCGAGGCTGCCACCTGATCCGTCTTCGGGGGCACAGACTGAAGGAAAATCGATGTGAAGCATGCACAGAAAACACCCAGCACTAAATCTGTGCGTTCTGCTCCTGACAAGCAACAAACAGCAGGGAGACCACGCTGGCCCAGCAGCGTGGGCCAGGGTACGCAGCAGTCGCAGGGCTGGGCAGCACCGTGCTTCTTACTTATCCACGCCGTGGGGGCCCAGACCCTAACTCCATCCATTCGGGCAGCTCCTAGACCCACTGATGACACTGGCGTGAAGCACAAGGTAAACCTGGACCAGGACCCGTACACACACTGTGCTCACGGCAGGGTGAAAACCCTGGCACACATACACCGAAAACCAGGGCACAAGTGGTAAGATGTTAGGGTCGTGGAATTTTTTTCTTTCTGTAAACTTTTCTTAGCTCCTTTTATATTATCTTTTCAATGCCACCACTTAACTGTGTGACTCAGTGTCCTCAGCGACAGAACAGGCTCCTGAACCCATTTGAGATTGCTGTGGGACTTCAATGAAATTACACCAGCAAACAATGCAAGTAAAAAGCGGAGGAGGGGGAAGTGAAGCAGCTCACCCCAGGTCGTGCCCCTCGGCGACGGGACCACGAAGTCCAGCACCATGACTTTCTTTCCCAAGGTGGCGGCCTCCTGCAGAGAAGCAACTGCATAAACACATCTGGCCATGTTCTTGCCCCCAAGTTTTCTCTCCCCTACGTGAACACATTCTGTGTTTGTGAACTAACACGGTCTCTTCCCTAAATGAAACCAGCTGAGACTGTAATGCTACAGTACGATCTTTTCAGACGGCATCTCCCACTTTCGCCCCACGCCCCACCTTTGCGCAGGAGAGGCCGCCAGAGCCACCCCCGATGACGATGAGATCGTAATCATAGGTCGAGTCCTCCTGGAGGAGCTTCTGAAGCAAGCCGCTCTGATGCGCCTGTGGGTGCCAAAAGGATAGGAAGGCTACTTGACTCAAAGTTTTAAAATTGTTTATTTCCACCCAGCGTTCAATCAGTGGATTTTCTTAAAAAAAAAAAAAAAAAAAATCTTAGCAACAACTGATAAACTGTCTAAGTTGGAATCATAATTTATCTGGATGCTGTTCAGATAGGGTCCGCCACTTAGAACTTAGGCCAAAGTACATGGATTTTGGCCCATTTTGACCTGTAACCCGGCAGCGAGGCATGTGTCAAACGACCCACAGGGTCGTGGCTTCATATCTATGTCACACAAGGTCCTTTTTCCTTGGTTTAGCATCAAAAGATCACTCAGGTGTTGTCAGATAACCAAGCCTCACTTTTCAAGGTCCCTGTTCCTCTGTGCTTGTCTTCATTTTGAGAATTTTTTTTTTTTTGTCTTTTTGAGACAGGGTCTCCCTATGCAGTTCGGACTGGCCTTGAGCTCACTTTGTAGCCCAGGCTGGTCTCGAAGTCGCAATGATCCTCCTGCCTCAGCCTCCCGAGTGCTGGGATTACAGGTGTGCGCCACCATGCCCGGCCTGCTAGTCTCCATATTGAAAACAACTTTTAGGCACCATCAGCAACTTTTTCCTCTGATTTCTACTACACAGATCACAATTTATAGCTGTGCTGGTGACTTCCTATACAATGTAAACGTTTTGTTTCTCTTTCAGCAATGGCTGTGATGCTGGCTTGGTCCCCATAGGGATCCGAAGCAGCTTAGTCAAGGTAGAAGTTTGATATTTTTATACATGAATGAAGAGCTGGGAATTGGGTATTCTTGTTTTTCTTGTTCATTGTTCTCTCTCTCTCCTTCCCTCCTTCCCTTCCCACCCCTCCTCCCCTCCCTCCAGTCCCTCCTCCTCCCCTTCTCCCCTCACTCCCTCTCTGCTAGTGCTGGGGATCAAACCTAGGGTCTTGTGCATGCTAGACAAGCATTCTACCACTGAGCTTGATGGGTGATTTAGCAACAGTTTTCTCTATGCGAAGTCAGCTGCTGAGCCCCCTTACTTCGGCTTTAGAGAGAGCAAGCTGCAACCAGCCCTTCCTGTGAAGTACAGCAGGTGTTCCACAGCCACGAGGCCCACCAGATGCTAAGTGGCCCCCAAAGAGCTGCTATCCGAGATGGCTTTTGAGACATCCTAAAAAGGGCTCCACTGCCTCCTACTGTTAGGTCCCCTTGGGGCAGTCCACCTGCTAACCAAAGAAAAACGCTTCCGTCTTGAGATACATTTGCTACCTCTTATGTCCACGTCCGTTCTCTGACATCATTTTCCAGGTGGGGACGGCCAGGCCGGCGCTTCAGTAAGTGTTCGGGGGCTGTAGTTACAGTACTTACCACCTTCACACCGGGTGCGAGCCTCCAGGACTAATAAAGCAGGCCATGACCACGTAACACGGTTAATCACGGATTAACATTCCACGCAGACAGTCTTTTTCCCCAACCAAAGTATAATTCTTAATTAAAATTTCAATTAAGTATTTAGTCAATCACTAGTTACTAACATTTGCATACATATATAAAGGATCCAACAGAACAGAATGCTAATAGAAGTAAATAACCAATTATCAAATAAGGACTTTATTTAATAAACATCAATTTGTATGTGTCACTCCTAACAGACTCCTGTTCGTTTCCTACATGCTAAGAACCAAACAATTACGGCCATGGATCTTGTAATTTTTGACTGCAATAAAGGGTAGCAGTTTTGATTGGAATCGGTCACCTTGGACACAGGTATTGGGGTTGCTTTCATTTTTCAGAGGGACAGCCTTCCTTTCTATCCTTGCAGGGAGGAGAACTGGCCTGTCTCCAGGGTGGCCCACCTGCCTGGCCTGGCAACTTCACCTGAACTTCTGAGCTTCTGGAAGTTGAGCTGGTAGAAAAGCTAATTCCCTTAAAATAATCAAGATTATCTGACAACAATCCTATATTCTTGTCCATTTTACAAACTCTAACAGGCAAATCAATGGACTCCTAAAGATCACTTTCTCCTCTTTCCAATACTTTTTGAAACAAAGCATGAACAGACAGCACTGAAGAATGTAGACGGTGGTTACCTGGAAAATTCGGTCAGATCCACCCATGTGTACTTTATTCACAAAAATACTGGGCACGGTTCTCTGGTTAGTCATCTCAAACAGCATTTCCTGCATGCTGGCCCCAGCATCTGAAGAGTAAAAAATTATATAAAGACCCTGTAAGCGGCTCCCAACATGCATGAATTAAAGCATGGAACACTCAAATGCTCACGGGTGTACACCCACAGTGGCCAGTGTGCTTTATAGCTATACAGTGATCACTCGATGCATGTATTGATATTGCTCTCATTTTTCCGAGGGACAGCCTTCCTTTCTATCCTCACAGGGAGGAGACCTGCCCTGTCTCCAGAATGGCCCAGGGATCACGTTTTCAGAAAAAAAACTTAAAAAATAAGACCAATTGATTCCTTTTAAAATAAACCTTTCTAAATTAGCTTTTGATACATAACTCAATGGCTCTGCCTTTTGTAAAGAATAAATATATCAAGATAAAACTGTTAGCTGGACGTGGTGGTATATGCCTGTAATTCCAGCACTCAGGAGGCTGAGGCAGGAGGATCTCAGTGAGTTCTAGGCCAACCTGAACTACACAAGGAGACCCAGTCTCAAACAAACAAACAAAAAAGATAAAATTGTTCTAACAGCAAGAACTTGGAAAATACTTTCTAATATTCCATCTGCAAAATTTTTATTGATATAGACCAAACTTTAGCCTCCATCCCTGAAAATAAAACCAGGAGATGAGCAGTTAAAGCTGTCTTGTCTGGTATACCGTTTACAAAGGTCTCAAAGGTTCAACAGTATTTCACTTCCTAAGGTGACCAGGATGAAGCAGTCACTGCCATGCAGGCAGATACCAACTCTTCCTGTCACCCCTGCAGAGCACCCCAAGTGCAGCAGTCAGTGCGTATCACGTGGATGCCAAGGAGTCAAAAGTGCCAAGCTGCAAACAGAATGTGCTGCCCTGAAGCAACACAGTCAGGAAACAGGAGCGGATTCCTTACATTCATTACAGCTCAATCTATTTTGCTGGAAAGATGGCAGAGACATCTGAAACACCTCAAATACTTCCAAGCCAGCAGCTTATACATCTTCCTCCCACTCCCTTCTCCGAAACAGGAAAAACATGTAAATAAGAAAATCTCCACCAAATTATTTGTCATATAAAGGTTCATTTTCTGCCTGGTGAAACAGACAAAAATGGCTCATCTAACACGAAGAGACAAGAGTAAATTGAATTGAACAAAGTAAATGGAGAAAAGTCAATCTTGTTGTCATTTATCACAAAGAATACGACATACTACTTACCGACTTGATCAAGTTCCAAGATATTATAGTCAACTCCCAAAGAAGAAAAGAGTTCTTTCACCTGTAACAAAAATACACCTGTTTCACTCTTGCAAAGGATTTAAAAGACGTGCATTACGGGCACAGCCATGATGTACAGCCCCCAACCCCCCTTGGCCTGCTGGGGGGCTCCCTTTCAAATGAGTGGGGCCAATAGAAAAGCTCCCCAAAACAGTGTCTCAGCACAACAGCGGATCACTAGCACCTCTCAACCTGTCACTCCTGCTCAGAGTCACACAGGTTGCCTTCCTAGCAAGGGTGATCAGCAAAACAGGAGCACCCTTCTTTTATTAAGCCCCCCAGGAGGAGGTCAAAGGCTCTACCCCACTTCATCAAGGGGTAAAATACTGGGGCCCTGATCACCTCCATCCTAGTCCACTTGCAAGGTGGAAGCTGCAGGCTGGGAAAAGTAAGCCAAGAAGAACAGAAATGTTCCTCTCTCTCTAAGCCCTACTCATAAAACAGGGATGTCACTTCAGGTAGGTCACAGTCCCCACCCCATGCTCCAGAACAAGGGCTCTGAGGCTTTACCCCAGAAGAGGCAGATCCTAAGCACACAGAGCTCCCAAGTTCTTCCCAAAAGAGCTGACTTTATTTGAAACAGATGAAGGGGAAGTCCAAGTCTAAAGATACTCTCAAGAACAATACTCTCAAGAACAATGGCCATGTGTGGAGGCACTAGCCTGTAATCGCAGCATTTGGGAGGCTGAGGCAGGGGGATCTCGGTGAGTTCCAGGCCAGCCTGGGTTACACAGTGAGTTCAAGGCCAGCCTGAACTACATAGTGAGATCCTGTCTCAAAAAAACAGAGAAAGGAAGGAAGAAAAGAAAGATGCAGATTTTAGTGGTAAGAAATTAAGAGGGAACGCTGGGCATGGCGGCACACACCTCTAATCCCAGTACTCAGGAGGTTAAGGCAGGAGTATCGGTGTGAGTTCGAGACTGGCCTGGGCTACAAAGTGAGATCAAGGCCAGCTTGAACTGTATAGCAAGACCCTGTCTCAAAAAGACAAAAAAATAAATAAATAAATTAAGAGGAAACTCATCACTCTAGTAGAGCCAACAAGCCAACAAGCTAAAGCAGCCTGCCAGATAGTTTAGCAGAGAGAATGAGTGAAAGAGATAGCTAAGAATGGTCCTCATAGGGTCGCGGTGAACTTCAAAGCTTCCCCCAGAAAGTGTCCCTGAAAAGAGGCCTAGACTTAATCCGATCAAAGAGTAGAACATTGAACACCCAGGCACTGTCTAGAACAACAGAGTAACCAGCCTACAACTAGTGGAGTATGAAGTGCACATGTGACTCCAGCAGGGGCAGACAGGAAAACAGCCAAGGGGGCCTGCTAACCCTGTTACCAGGGCTGCACCTGCTGCAGGGGACATGGAGACCTCAGCTGGGGTGGGAATGAGCTCCCCTGATAAGCCAGGCAGCTCACTATTGCACAGAGAGCCTGCAGGTACCTGGGCCTGAGCAGTGGTGAATGAGCATTCACACTAGTGTGGAAAGGATGGGTTCTGCAGAAAGTGAGACAGGAGCAACCAAATCACAGAAAAAGCACAGATCTGCACTTACACCACCACCACCAGTTCCAGGGGATTAAGGAAAGCCATTGTGGAAAGGATACTATAAAACTCCCAGCAGCTAAATCAGGAGAATATCTTTATGACCACAGAGAAGAGAAGTAGGTTTCCTAAATAAGACACAAAAAGCACAAGCTGGTTTATAAAATAGTGATAGGTTCAGTGACATTAAGCTTGCAAATTTCAGTTAACTAAAAGATCCCCAAAAGAGAACAAAAAGAGCAGTCAAATCTGGGAGATTTTCCAATCTATATAACTGAAGGATTAGTATTCAAAATATATAAAGAACACCCACAAATCTGCACAACAAAATGAAAACATCTCAACAGAAAAAACAAAGGCGTGGTTGTTTCACAGAAGAGGAAAATTCAAGCAACCCATAAACAGGTGAAGTCCATCAAGTTAATGCAAAAATTCAAGCTACAAGGAAATACCATTTCATAACTGCCTTGATGGCAAAAGTTAAAAATATCAACTGTTAGCAGAGAGACAGAGCAAGAGGAACTGTTATACACTGGCAAGGGCACACTGGTATAACCACCTGGAGAAACTGGTGGGCGTCACCGTGGCAACTGCAGATTTCATGCATCTTTCCTGGTCCAGCAGTTAGAGCAAGTCTTGCACATGGGCACTGAGAGATGTGCCCAACCACAGGCATGCAGCCATACTGTTTTCACGAAAACACACTAGAAAGATCAAAATGCTAAACTGTGGGAATCACCCTAGGGAATAGAGCGGCAAAAAAATTAATGAGCCACAGCTACAGGTACTAACACGCATGACTCTCTGGTCGAACACATAATCCTGGAGAAAAAAAAAAAAAACCTGCAAGAGATTCTATCTACAAAGCCCCCAAACAGGGGAAAAGGAACAAAATATTGATTAACTATACGTGTGTATATGAATGTACTTGGTGAAACTGAGTAAAAATAAGGAATTTCGGCCAGTGGTCAGTCCTGTGGGGTCAGGAGATATCCCAGGAGGCTTCCAAGCAATTAACATCATCTTATTTTTTAGAGTTAATATTCTCGAATACATGTTTTACAAATATGTATACATGTATGTGTAATCAGTGTAAGCATCAAATTTGAAAACGATAGCCTGCGATTCCATGAGCATGACCCAACAGCTGTGCCTAGATTACCGTCCATGTCTCATTTTTCAACTTTCTGATGTGACCTAAATTTCAAAGTATTCAAAGTCCCTATTTCACAGGTGGATTACGATTCAAAGGTTCATTTCTAAGTTGCTTTTAGATTTTTGCGGTGGGGGGATAGACCCAAGGCCTCGCGGCGGGCTCTACTCCTGGGCTTCGCCCCTCACCCAGCCGGATAATACGTTTGCCCCTGAAATGACACCCAACGCCTATCTGGCCCCAAAGCGAAGGCAGCAGAGCCCGAATGACCCGACTTCGTGTCCCCGCCGGCCTTCTCGCACCCTCACTTCAGGATGCGCGGCACCAAGGCTGCTCGGGCTGGGCCCTGCGGGTGACCCCGACCTGGCTCCGGGCGACTCGGAGGGAGCGGCGGCCTCTTCCCCTCCGCCCCCCTCTGGGCAGGAGGCCGGGCCCGTCCCTACCCGCGTGCTGTGGGGACAGTAGCTCTTGCTGAAGATCATCACCCGGTTGTTCTCGATGAGGCCGCGCAGATGGCGCCGCAGCTCCTCACGGGTCTCGGGCGGCAGCTGGGCGGCCCTGGGGGACAGGCGGGCGCGGCGCTCGGGCGGCGACATGGGGACCCCTCGGACGCTGCCCAGGGGGCGGTTGGGGGCCTGGCCTGCTTTCCCGCGCCC